CTGTATTTGTGCTACCTTATTTAATATAAGTTCTAAAGGTAAGAAAAAAGCACCTCAACAGGTTTGGGATATATATTATAAGAAAATTAGTAAGGTTGCATATCAATGTAAACAGGCAGGCCTTATTACTTTTAATAATGATTATACAACTGGTACCATTAATTGGAAAAGGGGACAAATGTTAGTCATTATGAACGACACTGCAATTGAGAACTGTACACTATCTTATATTTTTACACCTTATTACTGTCCTTTATCCTCTACCATAGAACCAAAAGTCAACCACGACACACACACACCTATTCCGTCCACATGTGTTAATACAACTGCCTTCTTACAAGCTGTACATGTGTCATTACTAATGTTACCTGGTTAGATCTTAATGGCACCCAATATTATTTCAGTGACACAATCACTTTAGACAAACATATTAATGCCCCATTAGGTTCCCTGCCTTTTAAAGATTACCATCTACCTCTTGAGACTATTGTCTCCTTAATGAAAGGAAAACAAAATATGTTTAAACATCTTGTTACACATAATGATGCTATAGTACACACACAGGTAGCCACGCATATCCTAAAAGGAGAACTCCTTAAGGTGAGTTCACAAATTCAGAATGATTTAGCCCATCATTTGTACGATGCTTTTACAGGTTGGTCCCCTACTGGATCCCAGATAATGAAATCATTCTTCTATCCTCTTGTTATTAGAGTCCTGATTGTATTGGGTATGATTTTATATAACTGCCATCTTACTTGTACATTGAGGAAGAGAATACAGAAATGAATCCATAATGCAGAACAGAAACAATTGGAAATTCTCCTCTCTGCCACTGGAGGGTATCAACCCATCTTTAAAACTGGGCCTTAGGAATTACCACATGGGAATCGAGGTTAAGAAATTAATGAAAGTCCCGCAGGGAGTGACTAGCACCCCTGAAAATACCATGTGGAGGTTTCTCTGTCCTGGGAAGATTTTATCAATGATATGAGCAAGTGTATTGCTCAAAGAGGGGAATGTAAGGACATGAAATGGTTAACTCTTTTTGCTTTATATGCTTTAAAATAATGTTTGAAATAATTATGCTGACTTTGGCAGATGTATTTTGTACCAAGGCCTTTCGTCTACAGGATGTATGACCTTGCGTAACCTCAGGATGTTCCTGTCCCGTCTTTATTCAAACGCTTATCTTTTAATGTCAGACAAGTATGTTCTACTAACTATAAGGAAACTATAAATCTCGCTGCTTGCGTGACAAACTGTGTATAAATGCTAGCCCTGAAAATATACTCACTGAGAACTTGTTAAGCACTCTTTCGTGTCTGTATCTTAATTTATTAACAAGAACTCCCGTCAATTGATGTGGTGACCGGAAAATCGAGAATCGAGGGGAGTTGAGTCCAGAACAGCATTAACCCTTTCAGAACCGGGTTCCCTCGAACATACAGGACAAATTTAGAAACCTGCTGAATCAACGTCTTCAGGCAGGATATGGAATAACCCATGGGTGGGCACATATCCACGTAATACCGGCCATCAAAAACAAAACCAAGGAGGTGATAGCAGGCTGGGTGTACTGGAAACAAATGGAAAGTTGATTCAACATCCACCTTTGCTAGCAAAGCCCCAAACACCCGGACTCATGTCCCAAAAGTTTTTGGAATCAAAAATCTCCTTCTCCTTTTCCAAATCCTTACCTTCCTTGTCCCCCTGTTTCAAATGCAGGCCAGGGGGGCTGGCCCAGCACATATAAGCAGCCCCCCTTGCTATGTCTGTGAAGCCCGCCGGGCCATCCAAATCCGCGGGGGTTGGGGAACTGTGCTGGGCGCAGGGGGTTTCACAACCGCTGGGGGAACCGTCAAAACGCCACCGACAACCTCACCTGGCAGGGAGCCTGAAACCCCACGCGCCTTCCCCCCTTAAAATCGGAACCGAGGGGGACCAGACCGAGCGTAGATGGCTATCCAACCCAGGACGACCCTGAGCTAGCATACCCTGTTCCCACTGAGCCAAAAAAATCCCGAAAGCCAGAAAGAAATCCCCGAAGCGCAGAACCCCCCCCACCCCCGACAATGAAGACAAGGAAAAAGTGGACTCACCCAATTGCGCCCTGTGTAACAGCGGCAACGGTTGTGAAGCAGGAACCTGTAGAGCAGAATCCAGAGAGGTCACCACAGTTTCTTTGTTCACAGGTGATCCAGACCCATCTGCTGGACAGATCAGGCAACTACATGCAAGGCCTGAGAAAGCAGTGGAGAGTGAGTGAGCCTGCACCCCACACCAGGAGGCTGCAGAGGAAGGTAAGTAGAAGGGAGAGGAAGGGGCCCAGGGGACACCCCAGAATGGGGGAGGGGGTCAGGAGAAAGGCAGGAAAGAGAATGGGGTGACAGGAGCTAAAGCAGGATAAACAGAAGGGGGAGAGGGAACAACAGGAAGGGGGGGAATGGAAGGGGAGAGTGGAACAACAGGAAGGGGGGGAATGGAAGGGTGGAGGGGAACAACAGGAACGGGGGAGGGAATGGAAGGGGGGATGGGAACAGCGGGAAGGGAAGGGGGGAGGGGAACAAGTTGCATTAAAAACAGTTTTTTTAATTTATTTTTTTCTTAATGAGCAGGAACTTTTAAAAAAAACATGAATAATTTACTAACCATAAATAACAGACTGCAAAACAATTCCACATATTTCCTAATGTATAAATAACCAATATATTAATCTGCAATATGAAAATAAACATAATACTAACAATACAGTAAATTAGAAAATGATCTCTGAGAATATTAATGCGGATTCTAGTTCAGCTCATTAAACCCTTCCATATCAGACTACATGGCCCCAGCTCAGTATCCTTCGTTTTAACAATAATCCCTAAATGAGTATGTCTTGTCACCACCCCCGGGTTAGCCCCCCCATATTGAGAATTTTAACAAAAGATTATTCCATTTGTTAGATCTTTGTTAGATCAGGTTTGATCAACTTTTTTTTTGTTAGATCTACTCTAAAATATGCGATATTAACAATCATTGTCAGGGAGGGCTAACCCATAGTCAGCCCCCCCTCAACAAAACTTTGTACAAATTGTTAGATCAGACAAAATTTTTGTTAGATCTAGTCTAATTACTGAGATATTGCATATATAATTAGGGGGGCTTGCCCCCCCTCAACTGAAATTTGGACAAAATGTTACTGATTTTGGTAGATATTCGTTAGATCAGGTTTGATCAACTGGTTTTTTTTCCGTTAAATCTATCACGCAGGAGGTGGTATTCACTACTTTACTTTGTGGTCGTGACTACGAGTAAGTCCTCTCTCAAGTGAAATTTGAAAAAAAAATTTTTTATTGATTTTGGTAGATATTCGTTAGATCAGGTAAGATCAACAGGTTTTTTCGTAAGATCTATCACGCAAAAGGCGGTATTCACAATCTTATTTTAATTTTGCACTTCTTGCACTTCTTGCACTTCTTGCACATTGGAGGAGGTTTTTATTTTGTTTTACAAAGCTGTAAAAAGAAAGACCGTCCATGTCAAAATGGATTTGCACCTGAAGTTCAGATTTTATTAGCTCTATGCTACATCTATTCCTTGTGTCAGTCCCATCACGCTGAAGACTCTTTCAACTGCTACATTTAAACATGGAATGCTGATGACAAAAGCCACCACTTTCAAGAAGTTTGGCAGTTTCTCAGGTCCAGCTTTCATGAATATTGTTGACCATAAATCATCAGTGATGAGGTCCATCATCCGCTTCGGTACTGGTGGAATTTGTTTGAAGGTGTGGACAAGCAAAAGTCTATTCTTCATAAAGGTCATCCATTGAAAAAGAGTCTTCTAAATTCAGACTTCCAACTGCTGCCACCAGGTTATCAAACGTAAGGCTCTCCTTTAAATTTAAGCACAGAATTTTCGACAAATAGTTTTAGTCTGAAAAACCAAACCACTGTCTAAATAATGGACAGTATTTTCATAAAATGCTAGGAATTCGGATTCAATTTATATTGCTTGCAGACTAGGTTATATCTTCAAAGCTTTCCCAACAAGGTATACCTAAAAATTGGTCTCTTTTTAATATTAATTATTTTATTTTATTTTATTAATTATTCTATTTCTTAAGAGATGTCTTAGTAGCCAGTTAATGTTTGCCAAAATACTGAAAAATGCACGATCAGATATGTTTTTTTCCAGTCTCAAGTATACGTTTATAGAAATGCACTCGTAATAGTAAGTGTCCCTGAATGGCAGTTAGGAAATGTGGTCACCCAAAGCTGCACTCTCTCCCTTGGGCCTAGTTTCCCTGTGGGTAATCCCCCACTTGATAGCTGGCTTCCTGAATGCAGGGTGTATATAGTTAGAGGGTATGAATTCTTTTTATCAGTTAAGTTTGAGGATTCTGCAGGTAGGTATGAGACAGGTGTGTTTAGATTACGGTTGTCTATGAGTGAGCCCTGTGTGTAGAGCGTGAAACATACTGAATAAAATGACTCTTAGGTAAAGCTATTTCATATCGGGGCTGCAGTGTGCCTGGACTTGTTGTTTTTTCATTTCATAGAATCTATATATCCTGTACTGTTATCTGATTGGACGGGACAGCGTTCTGTGTTATTAACTTTGTGCATCTTTTAAGGTTTATTGTTTTTTTTCTTTCCTGCTATATGGTGTCAGTAAAGAGAATATAACCATAATCTGAGACGGCGGTCACCCAATATTAAAGAGAGTTCTTTGACTCCCATCAGCTTCAGCCATCCACTTGCTGAATTACTGGCTGGCAGAGATTGATAGGAGTTGCAGTTGTTTTCCAGCAGGAGGTGTAGTCTGGCAATAACTGGTAAATCAGGTTTACTTACTCACCTATTACTTACGCAGGACTTTAACCATACTGAGGTCTTACTTAGAAATGCATCTTTTCCAGCATAAAACCTGAATTATACATTAACGAAAAAAGCAATCAGTGTGCGAAGTGGTAAAATAAGGTGTTGGCAGGCGTATTAAAAAAAAAATGCATGTTCAGGTGAGTACAGCCCACTTGCTTTTATTTATATATTTGGGAGTCCTAGGCCAACTCCTTGGTTTTGCACCCCTCCCTGTTACAGGTGCCTCATTCCAGGACCCTATTTAGCCTTGACCTGCAGAGAGTCCCAGTAAGGACGTATTTCCCAAGTAAGTGGATTAATCTCATAAGAGCAAGCATTAGGCTGTTAGTGTAGGACCTGCCAAAGATGGGGTACATTGACTTTGTGGCAGGCTTATGCAATGTATGATCATATAATGTAACTAAACCCCCATTATTTTTTGCCTAGGTGAGGTGTTTTTAAATAAAACTATTACAATCTGTAAGATATGAAATAATTGTTTAGTGAATAAGCGAGTGGATTGTGTATTTTGTATATTTTGGCCCCAGCAGCACCCTGTAATGTATTCATGTTCAGGTGAGTGCAGCCCTCTAGGTTTCATATATATATAATGTATATAATGTCATACTAAGTGTATTTTTTATTTTTTATTAACATATACATATATTAATATAAAAATACACTTAGAGTAAAATTACACAGGTGTATATATAATAACTATGTATATTGTTTATATATATATTATTATAAAAAGTAAATAATAATTAATAAATGTAAAATTAATAAAATAGAAAAAATTTATAAAAATATATATGTGTAATTTTATTCTAACTGTATTTGGATATTAATATATATATTTATATCAAAATACACTTAGAATGAAAATATATATATATCTATGTATATATAAATAAAAATAATATGAAATATATATATATATATATATCCATATAAATAATTACATAATTTCATAAATATACTAAATTCTACGTGCATATTTATGTAATATTTTTACATAATTAAGTAATTTTATTGATTGCAATTTGGGGGACCTGCCTGACAACCCAGGCCGAAAGTCCCGACTATTTAATTTGCTAACACTGTGTTTAGCCCTGTAACTTTCTATGACACCCTAAAACCTGTACATTTGGGGTACTGTTTTACTGGGGAGACTTCGCTGAACACAAATATTAGTGATTCAAAACAGTAAAATATATCACAGCGATGATATTGTCAGTGAAAGTGAGGTTATTTGAATTTTTCACACACAAACGGCACTTGCACTGATGATATCATTGTTTTGATACATTTTACTGTTTTAAAACACTAATATTTGTGTTCAGCGAGGTCTCCCAAGTACCCCCATGTACAGGTTTTACAGTGTTTTTGAAAGTTACAGGGTCAAATATAAGGCTTGATTTTCCGTTTTTTCACATTGAAAATTGACAGACTGGTTATGTTTCCTTTGAGAGCGTATGGTAGCCCAGGAATTACCCCCATGATGGCATATGGGGTATGTTCAGTCTTTTTTAGTAGCCACTTAGTCACAAACACTGGCCAAAGTTAGCGTTCATAAATGTTTTTTGCATTTTTCCTAAATTATGCAAACAAATATAAATGCTAACTTTGGCCAGTGTTTGTGACTAAGTGGCTTCTAAAAAGACTGGACATACCCCATATTGAATACCCTGGGTTGTGTACTTTAAAAAAATATGTAAATGTGAGGTCATACTTGTACTTATAGCCCTATAATTTGCACAAAAAAAATCTAAGAACATGTTAATATTGGGCATTTCTCAACTCAGGACAAAATTTAGAAACTATTTGGCACGGATGTTTTTTGGCGGTTGTAGGTGCGTAACAGATTTTGGGGTCAAAGTTAGAAAAAGTGTGTTTTTTTTCATCATATTTTTATTTTTATATTAAATTATATGATATGATGAAAACAATGGTATCTTTAGAAAGACCATTTAATGGCGAGAGAAACGTTTTATAATATGTGTGGGTACAGTAAATAGGTAAGTGGAAAATTACAGCTAAACACAAACACTGCAGAAATGTAAACACAGCCCTGGTCCTTAACTGTGAGAAAATTGAAAAACGGGCTGGTCACTAAGGGGTTAAGGACTACTAGATCAAGAAATTTTACTTGTGGGGTAACAATTTGGTAATTTAATGTTAAGTTGGTTAGGTTGAATCAATATTCTAAATGCCTCCGCCCTCAATATATGAATCTATCTTTATCTCAAAATGTTACCTTTAAAAATGTCAGAAAGCTGGATAGAACTATTCCAAAGGAGTTCCAGAAACCCTGTGTCTGTTTGGAGTGTTTGGAGGTAATAGGGCAAAGCCAGGGAGGTGTCAGCTTTCCCAACATTAAGAAACATTATGAAGCTATTCTATCATGCTCACCTTCTAAGTGGAAAATAAATAATGAAAACAAGATTTTGGGGCCGGGGCCTGACTGCCACACCGAATCGTATCACCGAACGACCAGCAGCACATGGAATGAGCTCCAGGCAAAAGCTCCAAATCTAGCAAAATACCAGACTTTACACTCGAGAAAAACTGGGGACGCTCTACATACCCTAGAGAAGAATTTTGGAGCAATTCGCTGCCCGATTGACAGTCTTACCCAGACATTTCTCTCACTCACCCCGGAGGCTCCAGCGAAGACTAGTGAAATCTGGGGGGCATGAGAGACGGCCGCTCTCCTGAGACGTGAAACCTGAGACGTGGCTGCCTCACAAGCTCCTTGCTTCGGAAGGGTCCAGCCCTCTGGACCGGTGGGGGTTATCCCGTTTCCCACAGGCCCGACACACCTGTGCTAGCTCCTGCTGACCCCTGCCCATGTCGTACCTCTCTTACAAGACATGGCACTCACTCAGACTGGAGTGGGCCTCTCTCGGGCAAAGCCTCCCACCAAGTCAGTTGCCACTACTGCACGCCTACCTAGGCTGAAGCCACCAATGGGGATTCACCCCAAAGCATTGACCGCTGTGGCAGGACCTCTGCCTGGCTGTGAATTGCCCTTTCCTATGTGTGGATGTGCTCTCCTGGAATGTATGTTTTCCCTTGTTAATTTCCCCCTCTCTGTAATTTTCACATTGAATCCTGCAAATTGCTTTTTAACCACAAAGGGGCACTCCTGCGCACTGAGCCCCATGCGCCGGACCACCCCGATACTCCAATTAGAACGTGTGGTTAGAACGTTGACACCTCACTAACGTGGTGTGAAAACCACAGACGGCAAGGGAAACAAGTGGCGCGTGCTTCCCCTGGGTGGTCGCCGGTTCATATCACCGGACACCAAATAGGGGGAACATTTGCATCCCGAACCGGCCTGCGCACCCTGTCTTCAATTGGATCATCCTACCGCTCCCAACAGAGCTATAATCACTATTTGCACCCCTACATGGGAGCTACAAGGCAAGGCTTGTGGTTGCCCAGGAAAGTGCTCTCTCAGGTGGATCCCAGCATAGGGTTATCCACCCGAGAGAGGGATGCACACCATCGACCAATGGGAGAAGGAGCACACATTCAAACTGGGTTTCTATGTTCGGCCTGAGGGTGCACTGATTGGTCGCTGCAAGGAGCTGGCGACGGATCGGAGCGGGAGCACCCGTTCAAACAGGGTTTTGTGCCCTTTTTCCCGATTGGCCGACGAAACACCTCCCCTCCCTTAGCGGTGATTGGCGCAAATTGGTTTTGTGCCTTTCAGTGGATTGGCTGTTTGGTTTGGGCGCTAAGTTTGAATTCACCGGACCAAACCAAGCAACGCTGTGGAATTGATTTCGGGGATTTACAGAGCCACCAGCCCCAAACTGCAAACTTTAGACGCTGCTGTCTCGGACTCTGTACACCCGATAGCTCGAAATTTGCAGTGATCCCAAATGGGACCCAGGGCTGTCTAACAATATATGTTTTACCTGTGTGACCCCTTCCCTCCCCAGGATGCCGATCCCCGAAGTTTACCCCCCTGTATGGAATGTGTTGGCATGTGTGTCCCTGTGTGCTAATGGTATCTCCCAGAGCGGGAGATGGTTATCTGCAAGCCAGCCCCCTCCTGCCTGGGATTGTGTTGTATGAGATGGAGACCCCCTGAGGGGTGTGTCCAAATAAAGATTGTCAAAAGTTGTACCCCTGGAACTGTGTTGTCCAGTTACTGGGGGGGAAATAGGTCTCTTAATACATTAATAGCGGGAGTAACCAGCCGGGCTACCCAGGCCCTGCTACAATTGGTGGCAAGCAGTGGGATGCCATGTCCCTACCAACAAACCCAATGTTACTTGTGTGAAGCCAGAGGGATAATGCCTGGCGGTCGTAATAAAGCCAAATTGACTGCTGCGCTCATGGAAGATGAACTACTCCTCAGCCGGGGACCGGAGAAGAGAAAGAAGTGCGCAAGGAGGTGGACCGGCGCCTGACATTTTACAGAGAGCTACCCTCAGAGGAGACCGTCAATAGGATTTTTTCTGAGGTACAAGCCTATGTCCTTGCCAAGAGAAAGGGAGCAACCCCCCCAGCCCCAATTAGGGATGTGCATGGGCAAAATATTCGGTTCGGTTCAGCATTCCGAAATTTGGGACTTCAATACTTCAGTTCGACACTTCAACACTTCGGGACTTCAGATATGTTCTCTTGCAGCCGCTTAGTAGATAACTCCCTAATTCCCACGGTATTAGGGAGCTATCTACCAAAAGGCTGGAAGACCTAAATTGGTCTTTCAGTCAAATGTACTAATACTAAGTAAAGATTAAGGGGCATATCTGTAACGGACCGTTTTGCACAAAAGGGGTAAAAAGGGGTTAACAGCCGTTTAGGAGATCTTCCCCTTCCAGATATGCAGGCACAGCTACTGCAGAACACCAATCCGCCGAACAGGAAACCATACGAATGCTGTAACCAGCCGAATAGGAAAAACCATTTGAATAGGTTTACACTCCTAGCAGTCGAACTGGAACAGCATACAATAAATCCCCCCAAGAACGAGACAAGGCTCCATGTTGCGGGTCAAGCAGTGGTCTGTTTAATGAGGGCTACCTGTCCAGTATTTATGCAGGTCTCCCACCTGGTGGACACTTCCCTAGGGGACCAAATGGGAGACTGTGATAAGGGACCGACAAGCAGACAAATAGGACACACAGTCACAGTATATTCCCACAATGCATCCTGGCTTCCTCCCCTCTGCCCTGGGAGATAATTGAGAAGTAATTCAATTATCTCCCAAGACAAAGGCAAATCTCCATTATGCACATGGGGATACTAAAACAAGCATTACTGTTAAAATACACCAGGTAAGACACATTACATTAAAACTATACATTTAACATATCCCCAGATAGCTCAGGTCTGAGCGCACATTATTAAGCGAATGGCGCTCAGACCACACTAATACAGTTTAATCGCCATGGAGCTAAAGTCTTTACACAGTCAGTTTCATGCGAATGGGCTCCATGGGATTCCTATCTGGGGTATAACACATTCAAACAAAACTACCGAACACCGGGCCGTTCGTGCACTTCCACCGAACAAGAAGGGAGGTCGGCGGCTTCAGCGGTGTTCGCGCAAAACTGTGTCCGATTTTAGTACCATGAAAATAGAGACGAACACCGCTGTGCATTCGTATGTTTAAAATGGCCGCGATCTCGTGTTCGGGATACGAATGGCGGCCACCCAGCATTCGTCAATTAAGCTGCGGTTAACCGCAGCTTCAGGGAGGTTAATTGCCGCCACACTTCAGCTCCCAGGTGGTCTATTCATTCGTGCGGTTGTTCGGTAGATTGAATCTACCGAACAACCGGCAGAAAAGCACGAATATAGCTTTTCTGCAGGCGAAACAAAGTCTTTTAACAGGGGGCCATAGTCCAGAGGCAGCAGGCGAGCAACCAGGCTTCCCCAATGCAATGTGGTGAGATTGGTCTTGTCACAATATCTATTAAACAGTTCACTGAAACACCCCCCCTAAGTGTCCCCCCCTCCCGAGCCCCGACCTGTGCCCTGAGCGGCAGGTGGGGGCCCTAAATTATAATAAGGGAGGGGACCTATTGTCCTCCCCCCTGAGTGGCGGGTGGGGGCCACTGGCACTGGCCCTGGCCTCCAGGCATGTTCACCAGTGTGGCCACATTTTGCCAGCCTATTTTCCTAGGGGCCCCCCCGAGGCTGGCAGTGGCTTCACTTTGCCGGCTGGCAGGCGCGCAAGGGAGCACTCTCCCCCTCGCGCGCACTGCACTGATGTTGGAGCCGGAAGATGACGTCATTCCGGCTCCTGCATCTGCTGGGCAGAGAGCGCTCAGGGGAGAGTGCTCCCTCACCGCCTGCAGGACCGGCCACCAGGCAGCCCCACTGGTCCCCAGGGAATCCCCTCAGCACTTCCAAAGGTAAGGAGGCTGGGGGATTAAATAAAAAAAATATATATATGTGTGTCAGTGAGTGTGTTACTGTGTGTGTGTCTGTTAATGAGTGTGTTAGTTTGTGTGTGTTAGTGAGTGTGTTACTGTGTGTGTGTGTCTGTTAATGAGTGTGTTAGTTTGTGTGTGTCAGTGAGTGTGTTACTGTGTGTGTGTTAGTTTGTGTGTGTCTGCTAGTGAGTGTCAGTAAGTGTGTTAGTGAGTGTTACTGTGTGTGTGTCACTGAGTGTGTTAGTTTGTGTGTCTGTTATTGAGTGTGTGTCTGCTAGTGAGTGTCAGTAAGTGTGTTAGTGAGTGTTACTGTGTGTGTGTCACTGAGTGTGTTAGTTTGTGTGTCTGTTATTGAGTGTGTGTCTGCTAGTGAGTGTCAGTAAGTGTGTTAGTGAGTGTTACTGTGTGTGTGTCACTGAGTGTGTTAGTTTGTGTGTCTGTTATTGAGTGTGTGTCTGCTAGTGAGTGTCAGTAAGTGTGTTAGTGAGTGTTACTGTGTGTGTGTCACTGAGTGTGTTAGTTTGTGTGTCTGTTATTGAGTGTGTGTCTGCTAGTGAGTGCCAGTGTGTGTGTGTTACTGTATGTGTCTGTTACTGAGTGTGTTAGGTTGTGTGTTACCTGGGGGGGTAACATTTATTTAGGGCCCCACCTGCTGCTCAGGGGTGGGAGCCAGGGGACACACAATGGGTTTCCCCCTGTTACGCTACATGGGTGATTTGGATTGGAACTAAGCTTGTAAAACTCCCTAATTACAATAGTGAAGAAACTGAGAATTTTTAGAATATTAATACTGTAGCTTTAAAAAAAGAGGGAATTGCTGGTAACTTGATTCAAACGAAGTTTTAATAAGTGTTAAACTTAAATGAATTGCATTTAGGCAATAATCCAATAAGAGGAAGTGCAAGTAATCAACACACAAACGTTCATTAATAAGTATTTCCTCAGAGATGCATTAAGTAACATTCTTTAGGTTAATGAAAATAATCTTCAATAGTAACTTTAAGCAAGTAGCTGAGAATATTTGCAAAGCAGGAACAGTTCATAGTGAATAAGCATGATGGGAGTTGTCCTCCATATAATTAGTAACTTGAAGCAATGAAGATTTAGTAAGCAAGCATTAGTTCATTATTAAATGATATTGTAGACAAATAGCTGAAAGTTATACTTAAGGTTAATGTGAGTAGTCCTCCAATAGTTCAGAGATATGGTCCACTTGTAAAGTAAGTGAGTTTCCGTTCTCCAGTAATCCTCTATGGCGTAAAGTATACTTGTCTTAGTCCAGAAGGCTAGGACGACTTCAGAGCTTGTAGAGCCGGCGTGTACCAGGAGCCGGCGTGCATACTCGGAAGTAGGACCCACAGAGCCTGTGGAGAGGTAAGTCTGGCGGAAGAAGCTCCCAGTATCACCAAGCCCCCTCTCTCTGGCGCGGGCTTCCTAAATACCATCAGAGCCGCGTCAGAGGGGGGCAGAGTCCGGCACCGCACAGCGGAGTGCCGAACCCGGAAGTGTTACCGCATGACACCCCCATTGTCACCCAGGGCCCCTACCCGCCCCTCAGGAAAGGGGGCTGGGGGGGCAATAGGTCCCCCCCTTCAGTTTAAAAGCCTCCACTCGCGTGGCACGGGTGGAGGCTCAGGAGGGGGGACACTTGGGGGAAGGGGTGTTTAAGCAGTGACACTTTGGAAATTCAGGTATCTGAATGTCCAAATTGCCCGAAATTCGCCAAATTGACATTCGGAACAAAACGAATTGCACATGTCTAGACCCACAAACTACCGTACAATGCCTTCAAAGAATTCAAGGAAGCAGAAGGCATTGATGGCTTCCTACAAGATTTTGAGTGGCAGTGCCTCCTACAAGCAGTCGACCCCACCCACTGGGTCCCCATCCTGGCCATCAAATTAGTGGGGAAGGTGGCAGAAGCCTATCGGGCTGTACCAGAGGACCAGATTTGGGACTATCCCTTTATCAAACAGATCCTCCTGGCCAGGTATGCTGTCACCCCCAAGCAATACTGCCGAAAGTTCAGAGAGACCAGGAAAGGGAAGAAGGACTCCCATGCGGAGTGGGCATGCCACATCACAAGGGCCACCCAGAACTGGCTAAACTTCCAGCAAGCCAAGTCCTCTGAAGAGATCACCCAGCACTTCATGCTGGAACATTTTTATAATGGTTTCCCCAACGAAGTACGATAATGGGTGAGTGAGCTCAGTGGGCTGATGAATATTTTGACATCCGGCTGCCCCTGTTTCCCACCCACCACCCATCCGACCTCTGTTCCAGCCCAACCCTGTTGCCCCAGCCCCCCTTCATGGACTCCCAGTCCGAGCACCCTCACAGCGAATCTACCTCAAGGCGGAACGGCGCTGCTTCCAATGCAACCAGCCTGGCCACATCAAAATGAACTATCCTTAAAACTGGGGCAAACCACAATGGGTCACTCCCGTAGTCCCTGCCAACCCACGAGCAGCAGTTCTCTGCTACCACGATGACCACACATAGTTCCAGAACCCAGACGAGGAGGCCTGGACCATCCTACAAGAGGCAAGCCCCGTCTAGGCGCACCATGATAACTGAGACCACCACAGACAGGCAGTGCGGCCTAATGGGCGCAAGATCCAGGGACTTCGAGACACCGGAGCCCCGCTAACCCTAGTGCACCCACAGCTTGTCCCGGAGGAAGAAAAGACAGGGGGTACCGTGGCTGTTTGAGTGGCTGGAGGGAACATCCACTATTTACCTACTGCCCATGTCCACCTGGATTGGGGCGCAGAGTCCAGAGAATCAAAGTGGATCTTGCTCAGTTAATGTGAGTTATAGGAGGTGTGGGGAGCTGCAGTGAGTATAGTAAGTAGTGTATGTTATAGGAAGTGAGGGGAATAAAGTAATGAAGATAAAATAATTGTTGAATAGTAAGACAGATGATGTTATTACTCACGGAGGAATTTCACGGCCAGTGACCCCAAATAGGAGATGGGATTTAAAGGACCACTCTAGGTACCCAGACCACTTTAGCTTAACGAAGTGGTCTGGGTGCCAGGTCCCTCTAGGATTAACCCTTTTTTTTATAAACATAGCAGTTTCAGAGAAACTGCTATGTTTATAAATGGGTTAATCCAGCCTCTAAATCCTCTAGTGGCTGTCTCATTGACAGCCGCTAGAGGCGCTTGCGTGCTTCTCGCTGTGAAAATCACAGTAAGAAGACGCAAGCGTCCATTGTAAATGCTTTCCTATGAGACCAGCTGAATGCGCGCCATCCAGCCCGGCGGGAGGGGGACCCTGAGGGTGGGGGCACCCTCAGGGCACTATAGTGCCAGGAAAACGAGTATGTTTTCCTGGCACTATAGTGGTCCTTTAAATATATGTAGGATCTGCCAAGTCATATGTGAAGTGCAGGTGTTGTGTTTACTTTTTGTGACTTAATTATTCATAACTCGTGATTGTTTAGAAATGATTGACAATCCGTTTAGGAGAGCCCTGTGCTGAATTTAAAAGGGAGACATAACATCCCAGGATTTTTGGTATTATTTTTACTTATCCTCTACATTTAACAAATACTTTGTGAGGTATGAAAAATAAAATGTAACTTAGAAACACTACCGTTTTTACCTCTACCCTGGAACCAACGAACTGTATGTCAATAATTGTTCTGAACTCTGCCCTTTGCACCTGGCAAAGTGGCAGAACCTACCGACAATTTTGTCTGTTTTACCCCATATTTTTTCCTTTTTCCGTTATTGTATACGAACCTCCTCAATTCGTCTCCTGAATGAGGACCACCCCTGTAACCCATTAGAATGTTGACACTAATCACTTATGCGAAACCGCAAGGGAAGTAATTAATGGATGCTTCCATTGGGTGGCCGCCATTTCATATAACCAAATGCACGTGGTCGACAAAAGAATGGTGGCCATTTTGTCTTTGGAACGTCGGCAGCAGCATTTGGTCGCCAAGTGCCTGGAACTCTTTTCGGCTAGTCACTTACACAAACCCCAATAAAAATTAGACTGATGCCTGTTCTACTTCCCGACCAACTATGCGAACGACTTTTGGGATATATGAACTACCGAACAGGGAGAGCATTTGTACCTTGAACTGAAGAGAATCCCTTGCATGGTGTTCGCACAGGAACCCCCGAACAGTGACCAGCCAGGACACCTATTTCCCTGGAACTGTTTTGGGCTAGTGCCTCGTGTCTGGCTGGTTAAAACTTTACCTCGATGGCATTCCCATTTCACCGAACTGATCTGAGTGATATCTGGATATGTTATACACTCAGATCAGGGCTATCTAGGGATATAACGTTTGTGGGGTTCCATATTATGGTGGGGGCACTTTTGGGGTACTGTATATTTCGTGTAGATTTTCTGTACCTGAGAGATAATTAAATTATGGGGGGTTTTCTCATGCAATTATCTCTAAGGCACAAAGGATCCTGGGAATTAAACCCCTGTATTATTGTATTGTAGGGGTCTGTGCATAAAAGCTGTGTGTGGTCAGAAATAAATGAGTTGACTCTCAGAACGATGTTTCGTTCGGTAACTAGGTGAATGGATGTCTGCTTGTGTTAATGGTTCCAGTCTGGCTGAGAGAAGGAATTAGCAGAGGTAATCAGTCGGGTTACCCATGGTCCGCTACATGGACATTAAAGGACCACTATAGGCACCCAGACCACTTCAGCTTAATGAAGTGAGAATGCTTTTCTATGGACTGGCTGAATGCGCACGCAGCTCTTGCCGCGCATGCGCATTCAGTCAGGGACATCAGAAGAGGGAGGAGAGACCCCGTGCCGAGGGAGCACGGCGCTGGAAAAAAGGTAAGAGATTAACCCCTTCCTCCCCCTCCAGCGCCACGGAAGTGGGACCCTGAGGGAGGGGGCACCCTCAGGGCACTATAGTGCCAGGAAAACGAGTATGTTTTCCTGGCACTATAGTAGTCCTTTAAGCTGACATTATTTTTATACTATGTTACCATATTCAGTAACCTTTCTTTACAAATACCTATAAGTATAATAAGGTATTTGACCATTTTTAAAAATCTTTTTTGTCACATCTACAGTATGAGAAAATAATTGTATTTTGCTTTACTACTAACATCTCAGTACCTGTAGGAAATATTGCATTATGACTGCCTGTAACTATGTGTGTAATGCAGATTACGGGACGGCGCACACATAAAAATACATGTCTAAATTCTATAAGGCTACTTAAAATCACCTATCTGCTCAATGTAAATGGTAAATTACTGTCCAATACCTCCTCAAATATATACCTGTGGCTGTGGTCACCTCCAAAGGGACATCTGAAGCTGGGGGGGCTGGACCGGGTGCTCAACCCAAAAGGCATCGGGTCAGGATTTGAAACTTACATAGTAAAAACAAAAAGGAATTATACATTATAATACAGATTTACATTTTTTTAAATCCCCTGTCTCAGCAAAGAAATATGTGGATTCAGTGCCACCTTTCTGTAACTGTGTGTGTGTGTGTGACTGTCGGCCTCTCTGCTATGATTGTGTGTATGACTCTCGTTCTGTAAGTGTGTGTGCCTGCATGTGGCTGCCTGTAACTCTGTGTGTGACTGTATTTGATTGTATAAATGTTTGCATCAGACCACGTGTCTGCCTGTGGGACTATGTGCATGTGACACTGCACACATATCACACACAGTCAATACACCGTTAACAAATATCACACACAGAGACGGAGGTGCAGACCAGATTCCCAGCACAGTGAGCCATCAGAGATTAGCATTACCTCTCACTGCAAGGTAACAATAATAATTATTAATTTAATAAAGCCCCTATACAAACACTACACCCACTATACATATATGAGCGGGTGTGATCGGAGGGGGCACTGTGAACATTTTTCACACAGGGCGCCTAAAGGCCTAAGACCGGCCCTGATTGCTAGATATAGGACACTGTATACTGTCTAAAGCTGTCCATCCCACCGAAAATTCTAAATAAGATCAACCAATAAATGAAAAATAGAAATTGTGTATTTTATTTATCTGAAAAGTAATCTGTTACACAAAGTCGCTGTTTTGTTTATTTTACGTGCCAGCTATTGTTGCCAGTTTTAAATAAATTATATAATATATTTTCCAAGCCAGAAGTGCTTGGCTGTGAAGGGGTTAATTGTTTTTGTAGGCTAACCCATACATTTTCTGTAGGCTAAGACCCCATACGCTAGAAAACAAGGTTCCTGATTGGTGGAGCCTCTTCCGCTTAGAACAGCAGCAGGAACTGTACATGGGAAAATCTCTTTTTACGCACATTATAATGAAGCATCGCTTTAAGAACAAGAATTTAATTTGCAGATAAATGTCAAGGATTTTAACTCCTCCATCTCCGGACGCCTTTTTCAATGAAGTTGACATTGTTTGTGGTTCAGTGACCATGGAACGTAGTGGCAAACATAAACTCTGCTTGTTGGCCACAAAGTGGGACTCGGTAGTTATATGAGAGGTTGGGGGAGGGGAGGCTGGATTTAACCACTGACAGGTTATATGAGGTGTATAGATCTCATAGTCTGATCTGGGAGAGGAATCGTCTAATGGGGACATTTTGCAGTTTTTAATATTATACACAGGATTTATATTGTACATGTTTAACTTCAATGGGGACTTGGCTAATGCAATCCAATAGAAGCAGTAATGGCTAACAGTGATATAGAAAGGGTAGTAGATACCTGGAATAGCCTTCCAGTGGAAGCAGTAACAGTGATATAGAAAGGGTAGTGGATACCTGGAATAGCCTTCCAGTGAGACAGTGATATAGAAAGGGTAGTAGATACCTGGAATAGCCTTCCAATGGGAGCAGTAACAGTGATATAGAAAGTGTAGTAGATACCTGGAATAGCCTTCCAGTGGGAGCAGTAACAGTGATACAGAAAGGGTAGTAGATACCTGGAATAGCCTTCCAGTGGGAGCAGTAACAGTGATACAGAAAGGGTAGTAGATACCTGGAATAGCCTTCCAGTGGGAGCAGTAACAGTGATACAGAAAGGGTAGTAGATACCTGGAATAGCCTTCCAGTGGGAGCAGTAACAGTGATATAGAAAGGGTAGTAGATACCTGGAATGGTCTTCCAGTGGGAGCAGTAACAGCGATATAGAAAGGGTAGTAGATACCTGGAATAGCCTTCCAGTGGGAGCAGTAACAGCGATATAGAAAGGGTAGTAGATACCTGGAATAGCCTTCCAGTGGGAGCAGTAACAGCGATATAGAAAGGGTAGTAGATACCTAGAATAGCCTTCCAGTGGGATCAGTAACAGTGACATAGAAAGGGTAGTAGATACCTGAAATAGCCTTCCAGTGGGAGCAATAACAGTGATATAGAAAGGGTAGTAGATACCAGGAATAACCTTCCAGTGGGAGCAGTAACAGTGATATAGAAAGGGTAGTAGATACCTGGAATAGCCTTCCAGTGGGAGCAGTAACAGTGATATAGAAAGGGTAGTAGATACCTGGAATAACCTTCCAGTGGGAGCAGTAACAGTGATATAGAAAGGGTAGTAGATACCTGGAATAGCCTTCCAGTGGGAGCAGTAACAGTGATATAGAAAGGGTAGTAGATACCTGGAATAGCCTTCCAGTGGGAGCAGTAACAGTGATATAGAAAGGGTAGTAGATACCTGGCATAGCCTTCCAGTGGAGAGGTAACAGTGATATAGAAAGGGTAGTAGATACCTGGAATAGCCTTCCAGTGGGAGCAGTAACAGCGATATAGAAAGGGTAGTAGATACCTGGCATAGCCTTCCAGTGGAGAGGTAACAGCGATATAGAAAGGGTAGTAGATACCTGGAATAGCCTTCCAGTGGGAGCAGTAACAGCGATATAGAAAGGGTAGTAGATACCTGGAATAGCCACCCAGTGGGAGCAGTAACAGTGATATAGAAAGGGTAGTAGATACCTGGAATAGCCACCCAGTGGTAGCAGTAACAGTGATATAGAAAGGGTAGTAGATACCTGGAATAGCCTTCCAGTGGGAGCAGTAACAGCAATATAGAAAGGGTAGTAGATACCTGGAACAGCCTTCCAGTGGGAGCAGTAACAGCGATATAGAAAGGGTAGTAGATACCTGGAACAGCCTTCCAGTGGGACCAGCAACAGGGTTATAGAAAGGGTAGTAGATACCTGGAATAGCCTTCCAGTGGAAGCAGTACCAGTGATATAGAAATGGTAGTAGACACCTGGAATAGCCTTCCAGTGGAAGCAGTAACAGTGATATAGAAAGGGTAGTAGATACCTGGAATAGCCTTCCAGTGGGAGCAGTAACAGCGATATAGAAAGGGTAGTAGATACCTGGAACAGCCTTCCAGTGGGAGCAGTAACAGTGATATAGAAAGGGTAGTAGACACCTGGAACAGCCTTCCAGTGGGAGCAGTAACAGTGATATAGAAAGGGTAGTAGACACCTGGAATAGCCTTCCAGTGGGAGCAGTAACCGTGATATAGAAAGGGTAGTAGATACCTGGAATAGCCTTCCAGTGGGAGCAGTAACAGTGATATAGAAAGGGTAGTAGATACCTGGAATAGCCTTCCAGTGGGAGCAATAACAGTGATATAGAAAGGGTAGTAGATACCTGGAATAGTCATCCAGTGGGAGCAGTAACATTGATATAGAAAGGGTAGTAGATACCTGGAATATTCTTCCAGTGGGAGCAGTAACAGTGATATCGAAAGAGTAGTAGATACCTGGAATAGTGATATAGAAAGAATTGTAGGTACGCAGAATAGCCTTCCGGTAGGGCAGTAACAGTGATAACAAAGCGGTAGTAAGGTATTACTGAATAGCCTTCCAGTGGGAGCAGTAACGGTGATATAGAAAGGGTAGTAGATACCTAGAATAGTCTTCCAGTAGGAGCAGTAACAGTGGTATAGAAAGGGTAGTAGATACCTGGAATAGCCTTCCAGTGGGAGCAGTAACAGTGATATAGAAAGGGTAGTAGATACCTGGAATAGCCTTCCAGTGGAAGCAGTAACAGTGATATAGAAAGGGTAGTAGATACCTGGAATAGCCTTCCAGTGGGAGCAGTAACAGTGATATAGAAAGGGTAGTAGATACCTGGAATAGCCTTCCAGTGGGAGCAGTAACAGTGATATAGAAAGGGTAGTAGATACCTGGAATAGCCTTCCAATGGGAGCAGTAACAGTGATATAGAAAGGGTAGTAGATACCTGGAATAGCCTTCCAGTGGGAGCAGTAACAGCGATATAGAAAGGGTAGTAGATACCTGGAACAGCCTTCCAGTGGGAGCAGTAACAGCGATATAGAAAGGGTAGTAGACACCTGGAACAGCCTTCCAGTGGAAGCAGAAACAGTGATATAGAAAGGGTAGTAGATAACTGGCATAGCCTTCCAGTGGAGAGGTAACAGTGATATAGAAAGGGTAGTAGATACCTGGAATAGCCTCCAATCAGAAGCAGTTAAGGCTGAAACTGATAGTTAACTGTGAAATTCCACTCACTCTAAACACGCTCTAGCCATATATTCCTAAACCCTAAGCTCAGATCCATTCTATTCATTGCTCACGGTGCCTAGAGAGATATCAGCTCTGCCTCACTGTTGATACCTTTCAAGGTTGAAACGAACGTCTGGGGTTGCTGTATCTCTCGTGCAGAGGGAGCTTGCTGACATTTCGGATCTGGACTGCCCATACAGTTGGGACCAGTCTGATTTGCTTCAGATATGTTCTCTCTGTATTGGCACAAGATGAGCTAAAACCAGCTTGAGTTCTGAGCAGGGACCCACTGAAAGGCAGGCTAATTGAGCTGTTGTTCGTTCTCACCTCTCTTGCTAATTGTTTTTCCGATCCATTACATTAAGCGCTGCGCTCTTTAACGCAGCTCTGTATGACGGTAATATACAAAACACTCCAAAGTGACGGTGACTATATAAATACTCCATTTATAGCAGACCTTGTAATGTCAACCTCTTAGTTGCTGATAAGTACACATGGTGGTTTTGGACCCCCACATGGTAGCGGTAATTGGAAATAATCTCGGTTATTTGGGAAGAATTAGTCCAAGTTACTACTTAGGACCCAATGGGATGGCTCTGAATTCAGGGACCGGATTTTTCTATTTGTCGCTATTCACACTTATTCAGATATTTTTACCTCTTATACAACTGAGACAGAGTTATTAAACTGCGTGTATCGGGAAGAATCGAAGGACAAATAGTGGAACGGAAGGTTAACCAGAGTCTCCGTCACCTAATAGAATCTCATATCATATTATTATGCATCAAAATCATTAAATAAATCTAATTAGGAGTTCACATGCAAATATTGGCAGAAGCTGTGACTTTTATTCCTATATCCATTTTTCACCAATAAAGCCGTGTTTTAATGTTTTTTAATACATTTCCTCCAATCCATGTAAAAGTCTAATAAAAGATGATATTCCACTGTGAAGCCTTTTTTTTTTTTTTTAAAAGTGTCAATCACTGTGTTAGTAAACAGAAGCCTTTCACTGTTATTTATATATTTATTGTGTCTTTTATGAATATTTTTAGAAAACTCCTAAAGTCGGCATTTCCTGTTCCATTCAGCATTGCAGGGGTTAAATCCCGGCATCACTCTCCATGCCCACATCATAGTACCATGTTACAAAGCCCCAGCCCTACACAATGCCAGGGGTCAAAGCGGGGTTAATCCTCTACGGCTGTTTGTTCATGGGTGAGTCCGAGCGCAGTGTTGTTGAAAGAACACTATTGGCCGGGTGAAGGTGCCATACAGTGTACTTTGGACACAGGGGGGTAAAGGTGCCCCTCTCTCTCCCTCAGTCTTGCTGGATCCTGAGCCAATAGGCAGGTGAGTGTCGGTGAATTGTTGGAATTGGCGAGAGAGTTTGTCTAGGCTGGCTGGTGTCATGTCTGCATCCCCGGAGGCAGCGGCGAGGGGCACCGAGGCCTCTGTGTGAGTCACATAACTGCACTCGCTGCAAAACCTCAGAGAGAGAGAGAGAGAGACTGCTGGTTATACAACAGAGCTGGAACAGGGCTTATTCCAGCTTTAAAACGTCAAATTAACTTGTTCCTGTGCAGAGTGTGCCAAGCGCCTTGCCTGAGAATCAGTTAGCGAACATTTATCTCAAATTTTCTGTCTGTACTGCAGCCAGAGATACAATTATTCTAACAGCAAACTGTCCGATCCCCAAACTCTATTCTGACTGCCTAATCACCAAACACCATAGTCACTACCTAATCCCCAAACTGTCTGACCGATCACCAAACTCCATCCTGACTGTCTAATCACCTTACACCATAATCACTGCCAGATCATCAAACTGTCTGACCAATCAGGAGACGCTATGTGTCTAACTGATCACTAAACTTTCCGTTTACCAAACTCCATATGGTGTGTCGGATTATTGCGTGAGTGATCATCACCAATTTCTATGCCGTTTTCCTGATCACCAAACTTTCTGCCTGATCACCAAACTTTCTGTCTGATTGCCACACTTTCTGCCTGATTGCCACACTTTCTGTCTGATCACCAAACTTTCTGCCTGATTACCAAACTTTCTGTCTGATCACCAAACTTTCTGCCTGATTACCAAACTTTCTGCCTGATTACCAAACTTTCTGCCTGATTGCCAAACCTTCTGTCTGATCACCAAACTTTCTGTCTGATTGCCACACTTTCTGTCTGATCACCAAACTTTCTGTCTGATTACCAAACTTTCTGCCTGATTACCAAACTTTCTGTCTGATCACCAAACTTTCTGCCTGATTACCAAACTTTCTGCCTGATCACCAAACTTTCTGTCTGATCACCAAACTTTCTGCCTGATTACCAAACTTTCTGCCTGATTACCAAACTTTCTGCCTGATTGCCAAACTTTCTGCCTGATTGCCAAACTTTCTGCCTGATTACCAAACTTTCTGTCTGATCACCAAACTTTCTGTCTGATCACCAAACTTTCTGCCTGATTACCAAACTTTCTGTCTGATTACCAAACTTTCTGCCTGATTACCAAACTTTCTGCCTGATTACCAAACTTTCTGCCTGATTGCCAAACCTTCTGTCTGCCAAACTTTCTGCCTGATTACCAAACTTTCTGTCTGATTACCAAACTTTCTGCCTGATTGCCAAACTTTCTGCCTGATTACCAAACTTTCTGTCTGATTACCAAACTTTCTGCCTGATTGCCAAACTTTCTGCCTGATTACCAAACTTTCTGTCTGATCGCCAAACTTTCTGCCTGATCACCAAACTTTCTGCCTGATTACCAAACTTTCTGCCTGATCGCCAAACTTTCTGCCTGATCACCAAACTTTCTGCCTGATCACCAAACTTTCTGCCTGATTACCAAACTTTCTGCCTGATTACCAAACTTTCTGCCTGATTACCAAACTTTCTGCCTGATTACCAAACTTTCTGCCTGATTGCCAAACTTTCTGCCTGATTGCCAAACTTTCTGCCTGATCGCCAAACTTTCTGTCTGATTACCAAACTTTCTGTCTGATCGCCAAACTTTCTGCCTGATCACCAAACTTTCTGTCTGATTGATTACCAAACTTTCTGCCTGATCACCAAACTTTCTGCCTGATCTCCAAACTTTCTGCCTGATTACCAAACTTTCTGCTGGCTGCCCAGCATTGTTACAGAAAGTTTGATGGGCTAAGGTGGACCTTCACTGAGGGCCTACGTAAGGTCTATACTGGAGAGTACACAAAATATATTAATGGCTGGTTCTAACCAATGCCCACTCAGAGCCTATCCAGGTCCTAACCAGGTCCGGACCTGGGGTCCGTAAGGGTTTATCCAGGGTCTATACAATATCTCTCCTCGAGCCTATACATGATATATCTAGGGCTTATCCTGAGGGCTATATCCACCCAGAGTCTATTATGCAGGGATCTGTCAATTATTTACATAATATTATTTAATAAATCTTCCCCAAGCCTACAATACTTTAAGAGATCCCTCTCTACATATCTCAAAACAGAATGCACCTGTCATGGTTAATTATATATCACTTACCTGTTCTATATAAACTTTTCTATATGTGTTGTGTATTAAGATTGTTTTTGTATTTTATTGTACTCTATTGTATCAATGCAATGTTTTGTGAACCCAGGACATACTTGAAAATGAGAGAAATCTCAATGTATCTCTCCTGTTAAAATATTTAATAAATAAATATTGGGGTTTATTACGAGAGCTGGGTGTTTAAATAACGTTACTGAGGTGTTATATGGGAGCTGGGTGTGTAAATAATGTTATTGAGGTGCTATACGGGAGCTGGGTGTGTAAATAACGTTATTGAGGTGTTATATACGGGAGCTGGGTGTGTAAATAATGTTATTGAGGTGTTATACGGGAGCTGGGTGTGTAAATAACGTTAATAAGGTGTTATACGGGAGTTGGGTGTGTAAATAATGTTATTGAGGTGTTATACGGGAGCTGGGTGTGTAAATAACGTTATTGAGGTGTTATACGGGGATTGGGAGTGTAAATAACATTATTGAGGTGTAATAGGTGAGCTGGGTGTGTAAATAACGTTATTGAGGTGTTATACAGGAGCTGGGTGTGTAAATAACGTTATTGAGGTGTTATACGGGAGCTGGGTGTGTAAATAACATTATTGATGTGTTATACAGGAGCTGGGTGTGTAAATAACGTTATTAAGGTTTATTACGGGAGCTGGGTGTGTAAATAACGTTATTGAGGTGTTATACGGGAGCTGGGTGTGTAAATAACGTTATTAAGGTTTATTACGGGAGCTGGGTGTGTAAATAACGTTATTGAGGTGTTATACGGGAGTTGGGTGTGTAAATAACGTTATTGAGGTGTTATATATGGGATCTGGGTGTGTAAATAACATTATTGAGGTTTTATACGGGAGCTGGGTGTGTAAGTAATGTTATTAAGGTTTATTACGGGAGCTGGGTGTGTAAATAACGTTACTGAGGTGTTATACGGGGATTGGGAGTGTAAATAACATTATTGAGGTGTAATAGGTGAGCTGGGTGTGTAAATAACAGTATTGAGGTGTTATACGGGAGCTGGGTGTGTAAGTAATGTTATTAAGGTTTATTACGGGAGCTGGGTGTGTAAATAACGTTACTGAGGTGTTATACGGGGATTGGGAGTGTAAATAACATTATTGAGGTGTAATAGGTGAGCTGGGTGTGTAAATAACAGTATTGAGGTGTTATACGGGAGTTGGGTGTGTATATAATGTTATTGAGGTGTTATACGGGAGTTGGGTGTGTAAATAACGTTATTGAGGTGTTATACGGGAGCTGGGTGTGTAAACAACGTTATTGAGGTGTTATACGGGAGCTGGGTGTGTATATAATGTTATTGAGGTGTTATACAGGAGCTGGGTGTGTAAATAACGTTATTGAGGTGTAATAGGTGAGTTGGGTGTGTAAATAACGTTATTGAGGTGTTATACGGGAGTTGGGTGTGTAAATAATGTTATTGAGGTGTTATACGGGATCTGGTTGTGTAAATAACGTTATTGAGGTGTAATAGGTGAGCTGGGTGTGTAAATAACGTTATTGAGGTGTTATACGGGAGCTGGGTGTGTAAATAACGTTATTGAGGTGTTATACGGGAGCTGGGTGTGTAAATATCGTTATTGAGGTGTTATACGGGAGCTGGGTGTGTAAATAACGTTATTGAGGTGTTAAATATGGGATCTGGGTGTGTAAATAACGTTATTGAGGTGTTATACGGGATCTGGGTGTGTAAATAATGTTATTGAGGTGTATCAGGTGATCTATGTGTGTAAGTAATGATAAATGTCAGAGCTATATATTTCATCTGTACATTAGATTAGAGTACAATTTATGAAATCACATCAATAAAGTTTATTTTTGGTACTTGGTTTCATTTCTCACACAGGGCAGTAATTAGCACATCGTGTGTTCAGGGCACAGCTCCTGAAATCTCAAATGGATAAAGAGGGACACTTTGTTATTCGGGATGTGAGAGGGATGGGGGTCCAGGGGCGGGGCTGTTCTGAGTGTGAGTGAGCATCTGACATGGGTTGGGGCTGTTCTAGGTGTGGGTAGGGGTGACCATGGGTGGGGCTTAGTGAGTGTGAGTAGAGTGTGGCCATTGGGTAGGTCTGTACCAAGTGTGAGCAGGGGTGTGGCCAGGGGCGGGGCTGTACTAAGTGTGAGTGAGGGTCATTGTGACACACAGGTACTTTTTGTTGTGGTTATATAACCACACCATTGTGTGACCTGAGTTTGCTCTTTCTAGAATGGAAGCTAGATGTTACGTAGTGATTTATGGACATTCTGCGTGTGATTCAACAAAGATGCTGCAATGATGGATGGGCGAATGTATTGTATCATTAACACAAACACACTTCAAGATTGCTGATTGTAATAAATTCGTTCTTTCTTCTTCCTTCTGTCCTTTTTCCAGTTGATTGATATATACGTCTTTTGTATATATAGTCTTGGGTCAAAGGCTCGCTACATTAATATACGTCTAACTCTAGCCCGATAAGGACAGGACCCCCAGTCCACATTCCAGAATTCTCATACAAGAAAACCCTGTGATTTATTGATACAATCTGTAACTTATGTCAATCCAGAAAACATAGAATATGCAATATTCTACACTGATACACATTAAACACACTCGAATAATTAACAGAATGTACTAAAATGATTGCACCATCAAAGTGTCAGGTAAATCAAACTGTAAAAATCATAATAAAATTCATTCTAATTCCAGGTTGTAAAACTGCAAATATGTGGAAACGTCCAAGGGGGTGAATACTTGTGGAAGGCAGTGTATTTGTTTGTGTGTTTTTTTGCCAGTAAGCGTTATTGCTGTGTTTTCATTGCTTAAACCTTCCAGGGAAATTAAAACTGTAAGCGTGCAGTAACAATGGATATTGAGCAATCATATTCTCACAATTCCTTGCCTTTGGGTTAGCTCTCCACTGGAATCACAGGCTTCCAAATGGCGTACACACTGGGAATTATGGGAACTAATATTCATTTGCATGAAATGCCTTGCTGTGCTTTTTGCAGCAGATGCTATATGGTGGCCTCCATTGCTGTACAGTATTACAGAGTTTGATGAAGGTAAATGCAGAAGCAGAACTAACAGACATAACCATGGTACATCCAGTATAAATTGCATTTTTATAACACAGCAAATTCTCCCAAGACACCTATATAACTTTGCAGTCCCCTCTCTTTTCATGTCGATCCATTCAGAGTCTATACAGTGACTGCCCTGTTCCTCTGTATAATGTATTTACTACCTCTGTATAATGTATGTGTAGTGCATGCCTCTCTCACTAGAGTGACTCTCTCAGTATAGTGCATGCCTCTCTCAGTATAGTGCATGCCCCCCCAGTATAGTGCATGCGCACCCAGTTTAGTGCATGCCTCTCTCACTATAGTGGACTCTATCAGTAAAGTGTGTCTTTCTCCATATAACCGTGTTGTTCCTTTTAGGTCGGGGCAGGGGGATGCCGAAATGTCCCTTATCTGCCTGTCAGACTTTGAAGCCTACGCTAAAGATCATTTGCCAAAAGCCACCTGGGAATATTACGCGGCTGGAGCAGATGAATGCTGTACGCGGGACGACAATCTGCTTGCATTCAAACGGTAAAATATCCTCTCATTTCCAGATATCCGCCATTTCTTTCAGTGTAATTGGCCAAAACCTGGGGCTTGCGGAACAATTGTTTTTTTCTGTTATAAAAATAACTAAAGTGTTTTTATGTTTTTTTCCACTAAATTAAAGGAACAGTATAGTGTTGGGAATACTAACGTGTATTCCTGACACTATAGACCTAATAGCGCCCATTTAGGTCCTCGGTCCCCATGTCCCCCTGTGGTGAAAATAACCTCGCCACTGGTTTTTGGAGGGGCCTGTTTGCCAGCCTCCTACCTTGTGACTATGGTTCCTGGGTTAACCCCTGGTTGAAAATACTGTTTGTGCCTTTATTTTTCCATGTATGGCTACCCTTCGAACTCCCAAAGCGGCACTTCAAATTCCCGAACAACCGCACAAACCAGAGACCACCCTGGAGCTTGTTAACACCTATTAAAAACTTGGAACGTTTCTCACCACTGTGTTCTAATTGTTCGTCTGGGTGGCCGCAATTCCTATGGACAACCATGAGGTGGCAGCCATCTTGTTGGCATGAACCCATGCAGTGGTGTTTGGGCATGAATCTCATGGATCTAAAATCGGACACAGAAACTCCCAAACACCGCTGGACTTCCATCATCGTCTGTGTTCGGTTCTATACAACTTAGAAAGGCACTGTTCGGTGAGATCATTCATCTTAATGAAGGGAACAAGCTCCATCCAGGGTAAGACTATTGACTCTGTTTGGTACTTTGTTCATTTTCAAACTACCGAACTAGACCGGCCGCAAGCCCTGATTCTCTGGAACTGTTTTGGGCATGGGCCATGCTTGCAGTCAGTCAAATAAATGACTTCCATAGAATTCCTGAACCCCTGAACTGATCTTGGTGATGTTTGGATATGTTAGTCACCCAGATCAGGGCTATCAGAGTATGTAACATTTGTGGGGATTTTATGTGTTTTTGGGGTACTTTTGGGTTTTTGTAAAATATGTTTTTTCTGCCTGGAGATAATTGAGTTAATACAGTATCTGACTCAATTATCTCCCAGGCTGAGGGGAGGGATTGTATGCTATGTGTGGAGTGTCGTGCCTTGTTACCTTATTGTTATTGGTCTGTGACATTGTATTTCAGTCTCATAGTTACATACCTGAAAAGAGTCCTTCCAATTTTGCAACAAACTAGGAAAAAATTCCTTCTTGACCCCAAAATAGCAGTCAGATGTCTCCTTGGATCAAGCAGCTATTACCCCACTAATTAGAAATGATATCCCTGTATGTTATGTTTTTGCAAGTATTTATCCAATTGCAGTTTAAACATCTGTATGGACTCTGATAAAACCACCTCTTCAGGCAGAGAATTCCATAACCTTATTGTTCTTACTGTAAAAAAAAAAACCTTTTCTTTGCCTTAGATGAAATCTCCTTTCTTCCAGCCTAAATGTGTGACCTTGTGTCCTATGTATAGCCCTGTTTATGAACAGATAATGGTTTGTACTGGCCCCAAATATATAATTGTAACGGCACCTCCAAGCATAAAGGGGGTTAACAGCCGTTTAGGAGATATTCCCTTCCAGATATACAGGCAGCTACTGTAGACACCAATCCACCGAACCAGAGAAGCATACAAATGCTCTCAAACATACGAATGCTGTAAAAAGACGAATAGGAAAAACCATACGAATAGGTTTACACTCCTAGCAGTTGAACTGGAACAGCATACAATAAATCCCCCCAAGAACAAGACAAGGCACCGTTTTGAGGGTCAAGCAGGAACAGACTGAGCTGTGTCTTTATTGGCCTTATATACACATTCTACAGACAAAGTCCCACCCACAGAGTTTTGTGGAACATCCAATCAAAACATACAACACAGATAAACACTCCTACAGTGACATCACAATCCCTCCTCTCTATCCTGGAGATAATTGGGAATTAATCAAATTATCTCCAAGGACAGAGGCAAAACTCCATTAAGCACGTGGCAGTAAAATACAATAAAATACACAAGGTTACATTTATTACATAAAATACAGACATGCAACATATCCCCAGATAGCTCAGATCTGAGCGCACATTATTACTGAATGGCGCTCTGACCACACACATACAGTTCAATTGCCATGGAGCCAAAGTCTTTTATTACAAGAATAGGCTCCATGGCATAGCTATCTGGGTTAAATGAGTTCATTCAGTAAATCCGTGAATGAACTGGCCGCGTGTGATCTGCAGATTGCTGCCATCCAGTGTTCAGTATGCGTAGGCGCACTTGCCGGCTTCTGGGCGGCCAGTTAGCGGCGACTGCCAGCTAATCGTGGCTCCTGGGAGGCCAATAGACGGCTGTTTGTTCGGTAGATAGAATCTACCGAAAGCCCGGGCAGAAATACATGAATAGACCTTTCTGTATAGGAAAATAAAGTATTTAAATGCCGGCCCATAGTCAAAAGGCAGCAGGCAGGCAACCAGGCTCCTCCAATGCACAGTGGCGAGATTGGTCTCGTCACAATAATGTTATCCTATCCCTTCTGAGGCGCCGTTTTTCCAAACTAAAGAGATTTAAATTTTTTAACCTTTCTTCATAACTAAAATGCTCCATTCCTTTTATCAATTTTATAGCTCGTCTCTGCACTTTTTCTAGTGCCATGATATCTTTTTTTAGAACCGGTGCCCAAAATCTCACAGCATATTCAAAGTGTGGTCTTACCAGCGATTTATAGAGAGGCAAAATTATATTTTCATCCCGAGAATTTATGCCCCTATTTATACATGACAAAACCTTACTGGCCTTAGCAACTGCAGATTGGCATTGCATATTGCTAATTTGTTGTCTATGACAATTCCCAAATCCTTCTCATGTGCGGTTATCCCTAATTCACTACCATTTAAGGTGTAAGTTGTTTGTGCATTCTTGACCCCGAAGTGCATAACTTTGCATTTCTCTACGTTAAGAATAAGGTCCATGTGGGCGTACCCCTTGCATGGTGATTGTCATACAAGGCCAAGCGTGGCACCATTAAAAGCAGTTCCTACTAACCCTCAACATAGAGCCTCGTCTCATGTGTGGAGGGGACTATACTCCCCTGAGTTCTAATCACTTGCTCTTATAAGAGCTGTTCCTGCTACACTCTCTGGAGTAGGAGAGGTTCACCCACTGGAAGCTGGATCCTGGTCTTGGGTCCAGGGTTGGTGGAGGACGGCGAGAACCAAGTCAAACTGCGGCGGCTAAGGGGCTACAGTGTTTATGGAGTCTGGTGGAGTGCTTGGAGTTCTCGGTGAGCACTAGGAGCATTGATTGACAGAGGCACGCGGTGGTGCCGTCACACCTCCCCCCCCCCCCATTTAAAAGGTGTTTTACCTACCCTTTTTTTTTAGTGCTCCTCATGGCTGACCCTGCCCAACTATGCCTCCTTGGCTGAGAGCATCAGATTTGATGATATCAGCCAATCAAATTCTTTGGAGGCAACTGCACATGCGTGGCAAAATGCCACGCTGCACCAATCAGCATCTCCTCATAGAGATACATTGAATAAAATCACCTTTATGAGGAAAGTTCAGTGTCTCCATACAGCAGGAAACACCTCTAGTAGCCATCTGAGTGTCTGCCACTGTCTTTTTCTGGAAAGGCAGTGTTTACATTAAATAGCCTGCAGGGACAGGCAGTAGACAGTAGAACAAATACATTAAGCTGTATGCTATACATTACGCTGTATACTACACATTAAACTGTATAACGTACATTAAGCTGTATCCCATACATTACGCTGTATACTATACATTAAGCTGTATACAGTGGTGGATCCGGGGGGGGGGCTACGGGGCAATTGCCCCCCCCCCCAATATTCTCCCCTGCCAGCTAATGCATCAGGTCAGAGCTTTCAGAAGAGAGAGAGTTCACGAAAACGTAAGCGTGATCAGCGCACTATTAAGAGATTTGTGGCTGATTCAGAGCACAGACGGGTTTGTGCAGATAAAGGCACATTGAGGAAGATTTCTGCCAGATCCATGCATCGGATCAAGAGAGCAGCTGCTAAAATACCATTACATAGCAGCAAACAGATATTTGAAGCTGCTGGTGCCTCTGGAGTCCCACGGACATCAAGGTGTAGAGTTCTCCAGAGTCTTGCAACTGTGCATAAACCTTCTATTCGGCCACCACTAACCAATGCTCACAAGCAGAAATGGCTGCATTGGGCAGAAAAATACATAAAGACTAATTTTCAAACAGTCCTGTTCGCTGATGAGTGCCGTGCAACCCTGGATGGTCCAGATGGATGGAGTAGTGGATGGTTGTGGGACGGCCACCCTGTTCCAACAAGGCTGCGACATCAGCAAGGTGGTGGTGGAGTCATGTTTTGGGCTGGAATCATGGGAAGAGAGCTGGTCGGCCCCTTTAGGTTTCCCGAAGGTGTAAAGATGACCTCTGCAAAGTATGTGGAGTTTATGACTGACCACTTTCTTCCCTGGCACAGAAGGAAGAACTATGCTTTCCGTAATAAAATCATCTTCATGCATGACAATGCTTCATCTCATGCTTCAAAGAATACCTCTGCATCAATGGCTGCTATGGGGATTAAAGAAAAGAAAGTCATGGTGTGGCCTCCATCCTCCCCTGACCTCAATCCTATTGAGAACCTTTGGAGCATCCTCAAACAAAAGATCTATGAGGGTGGGGGGCAGTTTACATCCAAACAGCAGCTCTGGGAGGCTATTCTGACATCTTGCAAACAAATTCAAGCAGAAACTGTCCAAAAACTCACAAGTTCAATGGATGCAAGACTTGTGAAGCTGCTATCAAATAATGGGTCCTATGTTACAATGTAACGTGACCTGTTAAAATGTTGTTATAAGTTTGATTGAAATAGCTTTTGATTTCAGTAAATATGCTGCAAACACAACAAATGACAATTTTCAGTTCATTACAACCTATAAAGTGTTTTGAAACTTACTGTGCGTAATAATTTAGAACAGTGCATTGTAAGTTTTTTATGTTTAAAAAAAATACTGTGGAGGGGCGGAGCCTAACCCTGCACGAGGATGGCAGCATAACCCTTTAGCTCCGCAAAGGCCTAGCCTGAATCCGAAGCCATCCACAGCACCTGAGCCCCCCACACATCCTACACCCATCCCTTCTTACCCCTGCTACAACCGGCACTAATCCTCTCCATGGGCGGCGGGAAAAAAGCCCGTAACTCGGCAGTGGCGCCGATCTTTAGGCAGAAGCCCGAGCAGACCCGGGCGCCATCTTCGGAGGCCCCCCTGACGCACTCAGACTCCGAAATGAGCAGCCACGCTCACTCGGAACGTACTGAAGCCCCCCTCACCAGGAACGATATGAGGGGCTTCCTGGCCGACTTTAAACAGTCCGTGGCTGAAGAACTTGAAAAAAGGCTATGCCCCATACTGGCAACCATGTCGGAACTCTCAGCTCGAACACAGGCCACAGAAGACAAAATGGCGGCCACTGAAGAAACGGTATCAACACAGGGGACCGAGATACAAACTCTCCGAGACCAATTGCGCTCACTTGAAGATGCAAATGAAGACCTGAACAACAGAACACGGCGGAACAACATTAGAGTGAGGGGCATTCCGGAATCCGTCTCCACAGACCTACTCACCGACACTCTCACAGAGGTCTTCCAAACCCTTCTCCCAGAAGCTACAGCTGCCGACCTCCTTATGGACCGGGCTCACAGAGCATTGCGAGCTCCCAGTACCAACATGGCCACCCCCAGGGATATCATCGTCAAACTACACTTTTACCACATTAAAGAACGCATTATGAAAGCAGCCCGAGATAGCCCTGTGGTGGTGGAGGGGGTTCCGGTCCAGCTGTTCCAGGATCTGGCGCCGACTACCCTGAAACGCAGGAGAGACCTGCGTCCACTCACACAGCACCTTACCCGACATGGCCTCCGGTATGCCTGGGGTCACCCCTTCAGGATCATCATCCGCAAAGATGGCAGGTTCCACTCCATCACGAAACCGGAGGAAATCCCCACGCTCCTGGACCAGCTGGACCTACCGCAACTACCCGACACAGCGCACCCCAGGGCCGACCAGGCTCACCAACGATCGCTGGCCAGCAACCTGCCCACCAGACCCGGTGAACGCATGCACCGGAATGCGGCTCTCAACCAGCCGGAAAACTCACCGCACTGAGAGGAAGCACGAACGGAGCAGCGGTCTGCGGCCCCCTACGCCCATGCCCTCAGACGAAACCCCTGTTGGGACCCCCTAGGGGACTAGAACTTTATTTTTTAATCTTCAAACAAAATTTTTTTTTTCCTGGCCCCGGGCCTTGGCCCCCTGGGACGGAGCCCACACGCCCCCATGGAACGAGACTGGTCATGGGACCCAACCTCCACACCCAGACACCCCAGTGGGCCGGAGAGCCGAGTCCCCACAGAGTCTGAGGGCTCAAGCGCAGGCCCCCCCCCCACGGACGTGGTCGGACCCGGGACCAATGTACCGGAATATTTGCAGCAAGTTCCCCCCTCGCCCCGGGCGTCCGACCTCCCCTCCTTTTATACCAAGGCCTGCCCACGACCTTCTAGCCCTCACCAGAGACCACATCAACGATCACCCACGATATGGACCGTGAGCACGGAGACTCCCGGATCACGGACAGCCACACACCCTCCGCCAGCGCAAACTATAGAGGGACGATCCTGGGAGGACTGGGACTATATCCTGGCCGGAGCCGGCATCTGGTACGGGGCCTTCGGGGGGCGCAGACTCCCCCACCTGGAGTGTGGGTCTCTGTACACTGGAGCTGCTGCCCCCCGGACCGAGGGAGGGGGGAGGCTGGGGTGGGGGGGCCGTTGTTGTTGGGGGGGTGGGGGCGGGAGGGTAACAAGACAAGGGGTCCAGGACCCTCTACAGCACAGACGAGCTGACTGCCCGGACTGCCCCCGCTGGCCCCTTCCCCGACTTGGACGGCCACGGCCAGCCCCAATGTCGGTCACCGGCAGCGGCCCCAGAGCGCCGCACCCGGCGCCCCCCCCCTCCGGCCCAACAGGAGGGTGCCACAACACCAAAAGAAATGGGGACATCCCCGGGATGACTGGTGACCCTTGTCCCCAGGAGCGGCCCCGCTTGATTGAATGTACCCACGGCCCCTCCAGGACAGAAACCAATGAGAACGCCCTTCTACGGAGCACCCCGACAGTGTAGGACCCATACCCCCCAGGCCCCATCCACAGTGGACACCCAGACTGTGCCTGCCCCCCCCACCCCGGGAGACCGGAGTTGGCTAACACAGGACTCACCCCGTGTGCACCTCCCTGACTTAACTCAGAACCGCAGGACAACTACGCACGACTGGCCCCCACTGTGCGCCCCGCGCGCCCCTCTCCCCTCCCCTCCTATTGACAGACGAGACATGGAAGGACTGGACTTCAATCCTCCCCAGACGCAAAAAGGACACCGACGGCGACACGGGGTGGGGGGTCTGCAAACAACGGCTCACGACTGGGGAGGCATGAGACGCTTGTCAAGACCGCTGCTTCCTCTCCTCCGACAAAGTTGACATGTTTGGTATGATTTTATATTGCATGCAAGCAAGGTTACGCTATAATGTTAAAATGCTTTATTGGGAAAGTGGGTGGCTGCGGGCGGGATGCACTTCACTAGGGCTGTGGGTGGCGGGCGGACACACACGACACTCAGTCCATCAATATGCCACACGCCACGACACCAGGCACCATAGCTTATGCTACACCCCAGCACCATCCCCCACTCGCGGTCCAACGGGCCGAAGGCGGCAACATCATCCCTATTGGAGACCCACTGCCCCCACCCCGCACGATAGGTCAGGGGGAGATGGCCAAAGACTAGGCCCCACACGGGCGGGCACAATACACACATACCTGCGCCTGGGGGGCGACCCACGGACAGGCCCAGATATGGAGGCCGCAGGGCACCTCCTTCCCAACGGGACAGGTGGAGGCACACGGGCTGCGCGGACCTGGCCCTCGGGCCCGGACGTGCGGGAGCCCCCTCGGGCACACATCAACCACAACACCATTCCAAGCTTACGGAGAGCCGCCCCCCGCACAGGCGGGGCCGAGACAACAGAACCCCCTTGGCCCAGACCGACCTCGCACACACAAATGGGACCCCCGGGACCCCGCTCCCCCCCCTCCCCTTCCGTCCCCCGCGCCCCCCCCGGCTCAGATCAAATTGCGAATTCGCAGGCAGGTCGCGGACGTACTCTGTCACTTCTGCAGACACCTCCCCCACTGGCCTCGGCCACCCTGGATCTTGCCAAAAGAGCCCCAGGACAACATACCGAGACCCCCGCCACTTCTACGACTGGCCAGGTTGATAAGTCCAGTCTTCAACCATCCAACTCCCTCTGAGACCCTTTGACGGGCCCACGCAGGCAGGGCCCCATACCACCCCTAACCTTATCCCCCCATCCCTCTCCCCATCCCCTACCTTCCCCCTCTCTGCCCTATCTAGGCAGCACGAATCCAGATACCGGGCGACGGTACACAGCTATCCCCCACCTTTCAGCCTCCTATAAGCACCATTAAGCACCACGAATGGCGCACCGGAATACCCATATTAGTATCACCTCTCTTAATGTCAAAGGACTCAACTCGCCAGGGAAAAGACATGGGATACTCCGCTGGGCTAACCGCACAGGGGCGGATATCATACTGCTCCAAGAAACCCATTTCACAGATCAGAAGCAGTTCCCACTAGTTAACAGACACTTCAAACGCAGCTACCTAGCCAACTCACAGGAACCCAAAAAGAAGGGAGTAGCCATCTTGCTACCAACACATGCCCACTTACGGACATACAAACCCACAAGGATTCCTCAGGCCGTTTTATCTTCCTCACAGGCTACGTGGGGAACCTCCCCCTCACGATATGTTCTTTATATGCCCCATCCGTTCCAGACACCACATTCTGGCACACATTCCAAACCCATCTAGCCGGCCTATCAGCCAAACATCTAATCATAGGAGGAGATCTCAACGCAACTTACACCCCCACTCTGGACCGCCGCACACACACAGGCACCGTACCAGCCCCGACTAGGAATGACCAATTGTACGCCGACTTTCTATCTGCGACCTCCTTACTGGATGTCTGGAGGAGCCAGCACCCGACGTCTCGCGACTTCACCTTTTACTCCCATACCCACAAATCTTACTCCCGTATTGACGGCTTCTTGGTCTCGCCAGCGGTACAGCCTTGGTCCATCCACTCCCACATCGGTAACATAGTATGGTCTGACCACGCGGAAATCTCGCTTACAATACGCATCCCACTCAGAGCACGCCCATGGAAATGGAGGCTGAACCCCTGGATCCTAAAAGACAAAGCCACGATCCACACTATGGAGGAACACCTCAAAACCTATTTCGATCTCAACGACACCGAAGACACAACCCCACCCATGGTGTGGGCAGCCCACAAAGCTACCATTAGAGGTACCCTCATATCACTAGCCACGGCCCTCAAAAGACAACGCCTCTCGAAACTCACAGACGCCTTGACCACCCTCGACAAGCTTGAATTCCTACACAAACAGAACCCCTCCGAACACCTACTCTCGCAACTCAAATCTACGAGGGAACAGATCAGCCAACTCTCGGCGGCGGACGTCGCACGGAACCTAATGTGGTCCAAACAGCGCTTTTATGAGAAGGGCAATAAGGCCGACTCACTACTAGCACGTTGCCTCCGGAAAAAGCAGGACCAAAAAAAGATCTCCAAAATCAAGACCCAAAACGGAGAGCTATCAACGGACCCCGAAATCATAGCCCGCGAATTCCTAAAATATTATTCCGACCTATACAACCACAACACCACGACATCAACAGGAGAAGCGGCGCACACGGACGCCATATCTTCCTTCCTGAAACCCCTCAACCTTCCCACCCTCTCTACACAGGAGCAAAACAGATTAGAAGCACCCGTGGAGGTGGAAGAGATCGCCTCGGTCCTCAAGACGCTGAAACCCAGGAAAAGCCCAGGACCAGACGGCTTTACAGCCATCTACTATAAGACATTCCAAACGATCCTTATACCACAATTATGCAAAGTCTTCAACGCAGTGCTGGAAGGCCACCCACTCCCCCCGGACATGCTGGCGGCTGACATCTGCCTTCTACCCAAACCTGGGAAAGAACACCTAGACCCAGGGCACTATCGCCCAATTTCCCTATTAAACATCGACTTGAAAATACTCACGAAAGTACTGGCCAATCGCCTTAATCCGTACCTTCCCACACTGATTCACCCAGATCAGGTCGGATTTATCCCCACGCGGCAGGCGGCGGATAACACCAGAAGAGCCTTCGATACGATTTGGTACACCAAACATCGCAACATCCCGTCAGTGGTGCTCTCGTTGGATGCGGAGAAGGCGTTCGATCGCCTTCTCTGGCCATTCATGTACGGAGTACTCGCACATCTACAATTTCCGCCAGGCTTCCTGAACATCCTGCGGGCGGTCTACAATCGCCCCACGGGAACGCTTCTACTCCCACGCGTCAATGCCCAAACCTTCACCATCGCCAACGGGACCAGACAGGGCTGTCCCCTTTCCCCCCTCCTCTTTGCAATTGCACTGGAACCCTTGCTCCAAGCTATCCGCCTCCACCCCATCATTCGGGGAGTGCAGATAAGACAGGAAGCGTACACAGTGGCAGCGTACGCTGATGATGTTCTTCTCACTCTAACGGATCCCATATCCTCTTTACATGCAACACTGCACCTCATAAGCGAATACTCTACCCTCTCAGGATACAAAATCAATCTAACCAAATCTACTTTAATGCCCATAGCTCTATCAGATCCACAGTTGCAACTGCTCCACCACTCCTTCCCGTTCCACGTCACCAAGTCCTTCATTACCTACCTAGGCACCAAGCTACCCTCGGACCTTGGAGACACATACGGAATCAACTACACGCCACTCCTCAAAACAGCACACGCAGACCTCCAACGCTGGGACAAACTGGGAATCTCTTGGATGGGGCGAATCACCACAATCAAAATGAACCTCCTGCCGAGATTTCTCTACCTTTTCCAGACACTACCCATCCCGCTACTGAACTCGGATTTCAAGCGTCTCCAGACGGCCATAGACAAATTCATATGGAAAGCCAAGAAACCCAGGATCCGTAGAACAACAATGTACGTCCCTAGACTAAGAGGAGGGCTGGGACTGCCCAACTTCAAACATTACTACCACGCGGCCCAATTGGCCCACATCCAACAATGGCATGCCCCCCCCGGCAGTAAACGCTGGGTAGACCTGGAACATGATATTCTGGGCTGGGATCAGCCCTCCTCATACATCTGGGTACCACGGATACACCGTCCACTCCCCCCACCCACCTCTCCGGCAATCACACATACCATCGCACTCTGGGATAAACTTAATACTAAATACGACCTGTCCTCCTTTCTCTCCCCAATGACCCCGATCTATCGTAACAAACTCTTCCCTCCCGGAATGACAGCAAGGCATTTTCTAGCGTTTGACCACCGAGATATCTCACGACTCGGCCACTTGTACCAGCAAGGTGAAATCTTTAAATACAACGAACTCCCAAACGCGGGGGCTCTGACCACCGCTGATCATTTTCGCTATATACAACTCCGAGACCTAGCGCAACAACCACTAATTAAACAAGCAGGTACCTCACCGCTGACAGCATACGAAAAACAATGCCTAGCGGCCCCCCTGCAACCAGGTCAAATCTCCGCCAACTACACAACATTGACTACCCACATTTCCCAGGTCAACCTAACCTATATTGCCGCGTGGGAAAGAGATCTGGGAGCACCGGAGGACCCGACCGATTGGGCCGCCATATGGGAAACACTAAATTCCCTTACCGTATGCGTCACGCACAAAGAACAGGCATACAAAAAAATGCTCCGCTGGTACCTGACTCCACACAGACTCCACAAGATGGGCCAGAAACCAGACGACGGGTGCTGGAACCTATGTGGCGAAGCAGGCCGCTACCTACACTGCTGGTGGACATGCCCCAAAATCAAGCCACTATGGGAAGAGGTTAGCACCCTCATAGAAACGATCATAGAGAAGCCAGTGGTCGTACAACCGTGGACTATGCTACTCAGCAAACCATTAGACTCCCTCACGAGGAGTGAAAACAAACTAACCGCCCGAATCAATCTAGCAGCCCGAAGGGCAATAGCAGAACTATGGGCTGACCAGAGAACACCCCACATCTCTACGATCATCAGTAAAATTAAAGAGACCCGAGACCTAGACGAGTTGACAGCACAGATTAATGATACGTACAAATCATTCCATCGTATATGGGATCCCTGGGATGCGAACCACACAAAATTGCTTGAGACCAGCCTAAGAACAGACACCCCGGACTGAGGATAGCGCTCCCTCAATGACACCTCGCATAGAGGGCTTACCACATAGGCGCAATGCTACTGGAACCCTGAATGGGATCTGCTCAACATGGGACGGACGCCAGAACGCACCCCCCCTCCCCTTTTTTTTCCTCTCCTTTCCCTCCCTCTCTCTCCCTTCCTACCCCGACCCTCCCCTCCACACCCCATCGGGGCCCTGCAGGCGTGGGTAAAGAGGGCATCTACCCCCACAAGGCCCCTTTCTCCATCCTAAGAAATGGAGGCACACCACAGTCACCACCGTCTGCCCAGCACAGATTAACACGGCGGGACTAACATCGCCCCCCCGAGACCACCTCCCCCCCTCCTCATTCCGCCCACACACCATCAAACACGCTCAGGTGCTCCAGAGAGACCATAGGGCAACACACCCCCGTTACAGCCAATAGCACCCACAATGCAATGACTAGTCAAATGCCGACAGCACAAGGCATCTCTCGAGAGCCCCATTCCTGGTCCTGACTCTCCACACGGGACGCAAAACAGGGAAAGGACTGCCCGTGGAGCAGCAAGATGACCCACGGAGACCACGAGCGTGGGCATAAACACACGCCAACCGACCACTTCCCACCCCACTAGCCCCGTACCCCTCCTGCCTGCGCACGCCCCACCATCGTCACCGCACCCCCCCATCCCTCCTCTTCTCTCCCCAGACAAACAAGACAAATGCACACACAGTCACACACGCTCAGAACAGGAGGAACACCTCTCATACACGTGAAGGTACGAGAATGCACATCCCACGAGATCCCATAAACTTTCTGTTCATTGATATACAAATGTACGAATTGTAAATCTCTGTGGTTTTTGTTGTGTATGACAGTACCCCCTCTACGCCCTCTCTTTGTTCTGTAACCTCATATATGTTATAAATAAAGAATTTATAAAAAAAATAAAAAAAATACTGTTATCATTAGGAGATTTGTTCAATAAAATTTGAATTGTACTCTTAATAGTTGGTAACATGAGTATTATGCTGACGGTTATTTACATCAATTATTTAGGTAAATGAGAAAAATATCATTTGCGTAATAATTTGGAACAGGGTGTATACCGTACATTAAGCTGTATACCGTACATTACGCTGTATACTGTACATTACGCTGTATATTATAGATTAAGCTGTATACCATACATTAAGCTGTATATTATAGATTAAGCTGTATATTATTCATTAAGCTGTATAACGTACATTAAGCTGTATACTATACATTAAGCTGTGTATCATGCATTAAGCTGTATACTGTACATTTAACTGTATACTATACATTAAGCTGTATACCGTACATTAAGCTGTATACCATACATTAACCCCTTAATACCGTTACAGCGTTCTATGCCATCCCGCATTTACTGGGCTTTAAAGCCGTTGCAGCGGCATAGAATGCCGTAACGGCTTTGAGCCCTGGATCGCCCAGGATACTTACCTTCCTGATAGCCCAGGCAGTCCTCCCACGGCAAAGCAGGGCCCTGGTCTCAAAGAGCAATCACATTGCAGGCACAGCTGCCCATAGAGCTGCCAGCAGGGGGACTGTCTGGGCTGTCAGGTAGTCCCACTGCTGGTGGGAAAAGCTAAAAAAAAAATTAATATACACAATAAAATAATTATATATATAACATATATGTATAAAAAAAATAATATATATATATACATCTTATATATGTAACTTCATACTTAGTGTATTTTAATGTCTATAAAATTACATATATTAATCCTGATGAAAGTCCACAGGCTGGACTGAAACGTTGATTTGTTCTATGGGAACTTGAATAAAAGTAAATTTTTATTGGAAAATCCGTGAGTGCAGCCATTCTACCTGACTATATATATATATGTATACACACATATTTAACACACATATTTAATTTCGGTTTAACTGCATTTTGTATAAATAATTACACAAGTATTCACATAGAATTTAAATACACATATATATATATATATATATATATATATATATGTATATTAATGTAATCATTAATGTATATTAATGTAATCATTAAGTCGAAAAAAGGGGGGGGGAAATACTCGCATCCTGTCATTATTAAAATTAAGATTATTAGTACACTGCGCTAGCATAATCTTAAATTTTACAACATGACAGGAGGCTTCATATTTTGCAAATTTAATGCTGAGGTAGAAGAGCAAATGCGGAGTTGGACGGACGGACGGAAATAGAATGTCCAAAACTTCGATTTGCGGGACCAGTCTGCCACTTGTAATATGTCTGACAGGGATGCGCCTGCCCGAAAAGCCGATGATGCCGCTACCCCTCGCACGGAGTGCGTGCCAAAAGACAGGTCTATACCGGCTAGTGAGAGGAGCCATCTGATCCATCTGGCCAGTGTGGTGACCGAAACCGGACCGTGAGGTTTAACATATGACACCAATAGCTGTCGATGGGCGTAATGTCTCCGTTGCAGTCACATATGCCCGCAAAGGCATGACCACACAAAGTTGGGGATCCGAGGTGAAGAACTGATAGAAGACCGATGACGAGTCGGATTTAGTCCGCCATGAAATATGGAATGTGACTCCTTCCAGATCGATATTAAAGGCGTCTTTATTATTATATTACGGCTGTCTTCGTGAATTGGGATCTACAATGAGATCTTGAGATCTAGGCGCGTAAACCAGTCGCCTTCTTGAAGGAGGTCCCTTAGTAAGTGTATGTCTTTAATTTTGAAGTGGCGGTAGGTCATGTGTGGGTTCAGATCTCTTAAATTTATCACCTGTCTGAAATCCCCGGTTTTCTTGTGGACAAGGAACATGTTGCTGAAGAAGCCTCCTTGTTCGCGCACGGGTTGTATAGCACCCTTCATGCGTAGCTCGCAGAGCTCCAATGCTATTAGGTGAGCGTCTGAAGCTAAGAGGCATAAGGGACGAGGAGGGTACCTCTGTACGGGGAACGTTCGTAAATCGATGTGGTACCCATTGACTGTCTGTAACACCAATGCATCTGTGGATAGTTTTGGCCAATTCTGGGAAAAAAAGTGAAACACGGCCGGCAGTCATGGTTAGTTGAGACATTGATAAGTGTTGGCCTCTTACCTGTGGGAATCTTGCGCGGGTACGTCCGCGACCACCACATCCTCTGTCTGTGCCCCTTTGGTAGTAGGGGTAGTGTTGTCTAGAGATGGTGTCCTGGGAAGTTTGTTGCGGGTAAAACTGCTGTGGGTGTCCCATACGGGGGCCTGATGGCTAGAATCAGCTAGTGGCACAGCTCTGTTGCCGACCAGCCCATGTGCAAGGGCTTCAGAGGTAACCCGTTGAAGGGCTACCTCTGACACCCTTGTGCATGAATGTGCGGGCTCTGTTCAGCAAGGTGAATACGTTGACGTGCTTATTAAGCTCTTTCATAAAGGCCTCACCAAAAGGTTTACCCTGTGCATGTGGGCCCAATTCTTTTACCCCCAGATCGGTCAGTTTTGGGTCTATGCGGAAGAGTGCTGCACAGAGGGCCACATTGGTATGCCCGAGAAAGCAGAAACCCCTCTGGGTCCATTCTCGGATATCATGTGCCCATTTGCGCACCATGTCTGCAGTAAATGAGTCTGCTCTGGCGTAAGCGTCATCTGCCAGGTACATCACACGGGCCAGTGGCCCCATCGTGTCCAGGAGCTTGTCTTGCGCCCCTTTAAAGCTGCTCTCGACCCCTCTGCTCGAGTCGCAACCCCCTCGCTCCATAAAGGCCAGCATGAGTTGGTCGAAAACTCTGGCGTGAAAACCACCTTGTCTGTCAGGGATGGTCTGGGGCACTTACTGCGCTTCAGCGGCGCCTTGCCTTTGTTGGCGGCCTTTTTGGTTGGACTCCTCGCCCTTCCAGTGGCGTTTCGCCGGGCGTTGTCTCTCCTTAGAGGAGTCATCTGACTTATCTGTGTCCTCCCTGGTATGGGAATGTTTGCCAACTGGCTTGTTAGTTTCAGAGGCCGTTGGTAACACCTTTGCCATCGCCTTCTCCAAGGACACAGCCACCGCCGAGTTGATCATGGCCTGAAGGTCAGTCGGGTTCTGTGTGTCCTCCATAATTCTAACATTAACAGGCACAGGAATGAGAGGTGGAGGGACTGTGGGGGAGGGACTTAGACAGGCCATAGGCCGTATAATGCTTTTTGCCCAGTGGCGTGGAAAGCAGACTCTGTAACACTGGGGCTCACCCAGGAGAGCGGAACTGCTTCAACAGATTTCGTTAGACAGCACTCAGACTACGAGGGTATACCTAACTGGCAGTCCCACTCCCCAGGGGTAACAACACCAACCTGTACAGGTACCAATAGGAATTCCCTATTCACCTCTGGAATTGGGTTGAAAAACCGTCAAAACTAGAGCCTTGTCTTGCTGAGAGTGATACTCCGCCGAACCTACACCAACAAAATGGCCGTCGCGGGTCTCGCCAGAGACCCAGGATAGCTGGCAGGAAAAAGCCCATGAAAGGCCACCGTGTTGAAGAGTCCACAAACAGATGACCTACAGTGGAATTGACCGTTCGTGTAGATGGACCGTTCATGCAAATTTAGACGAATGGTGAGCCTGTTTGCCGACCCATTTGTGCAGAGAGGCAAACAGTGAGTGGCCGCTCTGTTCACGCAATTATAGTGCGAACAGGTGGAAGAAGACAAACACAGTTGCCAAAATGCACAAACACAGTTGACAGCGCACTCTGTTCACACAGAATACAGTGTGAACAGCGCGGGAAAGGAAGGTGAGAGTGGCGAACGTAGCCACCAGATGGTGGTGGGCAAAGATGCCACCTCAGAATAGGTCTGAGGGGAGAGGGGATAGCCCCTCCAACAGTTAACAGCTCAAAGTAATACAATAATTAATACAATAATTAAGGGATTCCCTGTCACCCCCAGGAAATATAAACTAAACACAATAAAGTCTAACAGAAGATCATAATACGATGTAAAAATAAACAGTTAAGAAATCAGTACTCTGACCTGACTTGTGATGGAGCAGCAAAGAAAGTGGGAGTGATTGGATATGCTTAGACTTATATATACTCTGACTACGCTCTGATTGGTTCTTTATTTCAACTGTTTTGTCTTTGCTGCTATGTAGTTCGTAAAGAAAGTTAATGCAAAATATGAAGCCTCCTGTCATGTTGTAAAATTGAGTTTACTACAGTACTTAACCCAATTATCTCCCAGGTACAGAGGAAGGATTATTCTATTTTATGTGGAAGTGTCCTGGACCTGAGAGCCAATGTCATTGTGTGATTGCTGGTACTGCACTCTACTCTCAGGTCCAGGGGGACCTTGCATGGGGACCTGCATAAAAGGCCAGTTGTGGCTGCCATTAAACAGAATGCTTTACCCTTTCATGAAGGCTTGGCTCATGTTTGGGGTATTGGGAGTTATAATCACTACAACTTCTTCGGGATATTCTTCACGGATATACTCAGTCGGAGTATAGGGATCCGTTACTTATTAGAATATTTATTATATTTAGTATTAGGGTAAGAGTATTGCTAATATTAGTGTTCTGAGCACTTTTAGTATTAATGTTAGTAAAAGTGTTATTAGTGCCAGTATTATCAGTATTATCAGTTCCTCCAAGCGCCACTCCCTGCCACCACTAGGAAGCAGTTACTTCCTCTAACTCTCCGTAGCTAAGCCATGCAGTGCCAGGCTTAGCTCATTGGCTGAGAGCAATCAACTGACTTGAGTTGAGTTGTTTCTGCTTTGCAAAACTTAGCTCAGGAGAGCTAACAAACTCATAGCAGCAACTTCTAGTTCTCACAAGCTGACGTGAAAGAGCTGGGAATGTTGCCCAGTGGACCTCAGGTAAGAAGTCAAACCATAACCATTACAACACGCTGTAGTGGTTATGGTGCATGGAGTGTTCCTTTAAGTTGTTTGAAATGTGAATATATGTGATAATGAATAAAATATTTTAGTGGATAAGAATATAATAGCTGAGAATAAATGAGAGTAACTCAGAAAATCAATACAATTTCATTAATAAATAGAAACAGGAGTCAGAGAGATTAAAGGACCACTATAGGCACCCAGACCACTTCAGCTCAATGAAGTAGTCTGGGTGCCAGGTCCATCTAGGATTAACCCTGCCTGCTGTAAACATAGCAGTTTCAGAGAAACTGCTATGTTTACTTTAGAGTTAATCCAGCCTCTAGTGGCTGTCTCATTGACGGCGGCTAGAGGCGCTTTCGCGCTTCTCACTGTGATTTTCCATAGGAAAGCATTGATAATGCTTTCCTATGGACTGGCTGAATGCGCGCACGCTCTTGCTGCGCATGCACATTCAGCCGATGACGGCCAAAGGAGGAGGAGAGTCCCCAGTGCCTAGGGAGCCCGGTGCTGGAGAAAGGTGAGTGTTTAACCCCCTTCCTCTCCATTCAACCCGGCGGGAGTGGGACCCTGAGGGTGGGGGCACTAAACAAACTCGTTTTCCTGGCACTATAGTGGTCCTTTAAGATCATGGCTGCATTAGACATTTAAAAGGTTTTCTAATTCATGACCGATTGAGCCATCTCAGCAATTTGATTACCTCATGGGAGGAAAAAAAACTAGAAAGAAAATAGAATTTCTGTTAAATTATGTATTTCAGAGAGGAGTCTATTCCTATATATTACTATATTTTTATTGTTTTAGTGCATTATGTCTACAAATACAATTACAGGTGAGAGGGTGCTTGTGGTATTTAACAAAATAAAGAAATCCACATGAAATAGCCATAATGTCCTATTGTCTGCTGTGATCATCATCCGACATTGTTCTTCCAGGATTCGCCTGAGGCCTCGGATGCTCCGGGATGTTTCAGTAATGGACACTCGGACAACAGTTCTGGGGACGGAGATCAGCTGCCCGATTGGCATTGCTCCTACTGCCTTCCACTGCTTGGCATGGCCCGATGGAGAGATGAGTACTGCCAGGGGTAAGTAGCCAAGCAGTTAAGATATCATACTTACTAACATGGAAAGTAAGTCCACCATAGACAGCTGGAACCACAACATCATACGTATTAACATAGACAGCTGGAAACACAACATCATACGTACTAACATAGACAGCTGGAACCACAACATCATACGTACTAACATAGACAGCTGGAACCACAACATCATACGTACTAACATAGACAGCTGGAACTACAACATCATTCGTACCCCAGATGGGGGACGGGGCCAACTGGCTATTGCCTCAACCTTGGCTGGCTCGGGCTTCTGCTTGCCACACCCACCTGGTGTCCTAGGTACTGTACCTCCGCCACCCCTAGGTTGCACTTGCTGGACTTTAGGGTTAATCCTGCCTACTGAATTCTGTCTAGCACAGCTCCTATATGGACCAGATGCTCCTCCCAAGTGTAGCTGTATATTGCGATGTCACCAGGTATGCACAGGCGTAATCCTGGAGGCCATCCAACAGCTGGTCCACCACCTCTGGAAACTGTCCGGAACGTTCTTTATCCCAAATGGCATTACCTTAAATTGGTACAGCCCAAATGGGGGGGATGAAGGCCGACTTGGGAACAGCATTTGCTGATAAGGGAATCTGCCAGTACCCCTTGCACAGATCTATCGTGGTGAGGTACCGGCCACGAGCCATCCTATCCAGCAGCTCGTCTATACGGGGCATCTTGTCGTTGAGCCTCATGTAGTCTACACAGAACCTCATGGCTCCGTCTCGCTATGGTACCAGGACTACTCGGGAGGCCCAAGGACTCTTGGACGGTTCGACGACTCCTATCTGGAGCATCTCTTGGATCTCCTGATACATACTCTCCCGCAACGCCTCTGGTACTCGGTACATTTGCTTCTGTCACAGAGCTTTCGGGTCAGGGGTCTCTACCCTGTGGGTGGCCAGTGAGGTATACCCGGGCAGGTTGGAGAATGTCTCCCTCTTTGCAGGCAACATCTGCTGAGCCTGTCTGTGCTCCTCCTCGGTTAGTTGGTCCCCCAAGTGGACATCACCTATGCAACCTGCCATAGCTCCCTCCTCTAGGAGGTCAGGCAGGGGAAGATTATCAAAATCGTCCGAGGCTGGCGCACAAATGGCGGCCACATCCTCTGTCCACTTCTGGTAGGGCTTCAGCATGTTCACATGTAACAGGCGCCTAATTCCGGAACCCGAGCATGGACCGATCACATAGGTAGTGTCACATTTCTGTTCCACTACCCGGCATGGGCCCTGCCAAGCAGCCTGTAGCCTGCCCTGCTGGACGGACCAAAACCTTCTGACCAACTTGAAAGCTATGGCTCCTGGTTCCCCAATCATACCATGTGCGCTGGCACCTCTGGTCCGCCTGGAGGTTCCTCCAGCCGGTCCCAAAACACCAGCATGTATGGAATGATGGGTGTAACGGACCGTTTTGCACACAAGGGGTAAAAACCGTTTAGGCTATCGGCCCCCTTTCCAGAGATACAGGCACAGCTACTGCAGAACACCAAACTCCCGAACTGGATACAAAATAGCACTCCAACTCCCGAACTGGAACCTCCCAAATAGCTGCTAGCAGACGAACAGGAAAAGCAGACAATCAGCTTACACTCCTGGCAATCAGTCTCTAACAGCATACAGTGAATCCCCCCAAGAACGAGACAAGGCTCCGTGTTGAGGGTCAAGCAGTGGTCTCAGGTGCTGGCACACCCAGCCTGGTTTTTATTACAGTCTTGCAAATACAGGACCGCCCACAGGGAGGTATAAAACAACCAATCACATCACAGTTACATCCCACATATTCCCTCCCCTTATCCTGAGAGGAAACTCAATTACACATACAGTTAAAACATACTTTCTACCCAACTTTCATAACTCTAAAACCATACATCACATTCACATAAAATTACATATTCACAATCAATCCATTCAGGGGAACAACATATTAAAAAATGGCATGAATCTGACCAGGGGTTCAAAAGTTAGTAAAAGTATCTTTTGAGCCCTGGCTGGCACATGGCTATCTGGCTCAAACAGGTTTTACAGAGCCCTCTAGCCTGGAGACAATGGGGGAAAAGTAATCCAATTATCCAGGGATAGAGGCAGACTCCACTGAGCACATGGTTGCAAAAAGACATAAAACACTTTAAAATACATAAAGTCACCTTTTACACATAACACACAGACATTTCACATATCCCCAGATAGCTGGGATCTGAGCGCACAAAACTACCGAATAGCGCTCAGATCCTATTCACACAGTTCAATTGCCATGGAGCCGAAGTCTTTAACTACACGAATGGGCTCCATGGCATAGCTATCTGGGTTAACACATGTACATAAAGTCTGGTCCATAGTCCAAAGGCAGCAGGCGGGCAGCCAGGCTTCTCCAATGCAATGTGGCGAGATTGCTCTCGTCACAATGGGGGTTCCTTTCTGCTCCCCCTCTCCATCCCAGTGCTCCTGGACAAGGTCTAGGGGCCTCCTAACCCTTCGTCCGAACATTAGTTGGAATGGGGAGAAACCTATAGATTCCTGGGGCACCTCCCGATATGCGAACAGGAGATGCGGCAGGAATCTCTCCCAGTCCTTACGAGTTGCTGCAAAGGTACGGAGCATTTGCTTCAATGTGCCATTGAAGCGCTCGCACAGGCCATTAGTGTGGGGCTGGTATGGGAAGCTTATGATTGCTTTAATGCCACATAACCTCCACAGCTATTTAGTCATCTCGGCAGTAAACTGCAAGCTCTGATCTGAGAAGATCTCCCGGGGAAAACCCATCCGGTAGAACACTTGCATCAGGGCTTCAGTGAGAGCCATGCCGGGTGGTGCGGGCTTGCTGCAGAGTCATCACGGGGTAGGTCTACACAGGGGTCTGGGGGTGCACATAGGTAGAGGTGAGGTGACCCAGATCGTTGCCGAGTAGCACTTCTGCAGGTAGCTTCCACTTTCTTGTCTCCAATGCCCCAGTCAAGGTGGACATGGGCCATAAGTAAGTGGTAGATGGTTCCCTCTGCTACATGAACGGCTATTGTCCCGCCGTTCTTCTCCGCCTCTGCAACATGCTGGGCTTTGTAATAGTGTCAGGGTGGCTCCAGAGTCTCGTAGCCCCTAGGTGGTGCGTCCGTTCAGCCAGATCGGCTGCCTGTGGTGGGCTGGGTTGTCGTGGCAGCTTGGAGGTGGTCCACCTCATGGATGATGAGCCAAGTGTCTTCAGTGGTGGCTGGTGGGTACGTGGGGCAGCCTGGTAACAATGGACTGCGGCTCTTGGGGCCGGGGCGACCACTGGGCGAACCCACCATGGTGGGTCTCTGAGCTGGGAGCACTCTCTTTTGGGTTGTTGGCAGTGGTGGCACCTGGAGCCCACCTGGGTGGTACCATGGCCCCGTGGCTGGTGGGTTTCTTGATGGAGGGTAGGTCGGGGCTGCCAGGTTCGGGGGGGGGGGTCGGTAGCTGGGAGAAGTAGCAGGGCATTGTGGCCACCGATGTTGGCATACTCATCAGCCCACTGGGCTGCCTCCATGAGAGTCTTGGACTGCCTGTCTCGCACCCATTGCTGTATATCAGTAGTGAGCACGTTATAAAAGTGTTCCAGCATAAACAGCTGGAGGATCTCTTTGGGAGACTCCGCCTGCTGTGAGTTCATCCAGTTCTGGGTGGCTTGGTGACGCGGCATGTGGCATGTCCTTCTCCCTTTTCTTTGTCTCCTTGAACTTCCTGCGGTATGCCTCCGGGGTTATGGCATACCTGAATAGCAGGACCTGTTTCACAAAGTTCTTGCGGTATGATACTTATGTGACAAGGTGTGAAGGTTCTAAACTAACGTTCTAAGTGGGGTATTAGGGTGGTCCCCGTTCGGAAGGCGAATGAATTCCCTTCGTGAAGGCACTCCCGAATGCAGAACGGGCACAATACACGTAAAATAAAAAAGGGCAATTCACGGACAGGCAGCGGTCCTGCCACAATGTCCATTGCTAAATAGTTAATATACATTCAAGGAAAGAATGTCGTGTCCCAGGGATAAAAAGTTAACACAAGTTAAAGGAAATTTCAATGTTTTTATTCAATCAATAATAATTTCTGTGTCAGTGATGTCTACTAATCTGTTTGGAGAATGTCATTCCTCATCTAGAATACACAGTATTTCTGACAGTATAAATCGGGCACTGTCATTATAGGTTCATCTCATTTCATAATTAATAGACATTTTATCAGATGTTTGATTTCTCTTGTTTACATCGTGAAAAAAACCAGTAGTAAATTTCTTCATTTACCATATTGTTACGAGGAATTGTACTGATCTCACAGATATAGGGCTATTTACTAAAAGAAGGATTCACAGTGAATTTTAATTTTAAGATCAAAATATCCGAACTAGAAAAATCCTCTCAATCAGCTGTGCTTTCATTTTGGCTACTCTGGCCTTAAATTTGCAATTCACTTTTAATTCACTTTTTTTCCCTTTAGTGAATTTTGATATTTTCATATAATGGTGTAACGGATCACCTGGCACCCCGGGGAAAACCTGACTGGGTACCTCCTAGCGCTTCTTGAGGATTCCAAGCACTCTAGCCGACACCACAACCACTGCAGGCCGAACCTCTCTTCCTTCAAAGCGAAGCAGGAACGAGCTCTTAAAAGAACTTAGGAGTGATTATAGCAAGGGAATATGCAGAACATAGCAATCCCTTGTAGCAGATTCCCCCAATAAGAGACAGGACTCCAAATTGAGGGTGAAGTAGAACTGAGGTTTAATGACACACACTCTGCTTTTATGCAATTCTCCCATGCAAGGGAGACGCCCACAGACAATTATGAATTACCCAATCACACACTGGTTACATCCCACACATCTCCTCCTCTTAGCCTGAGACGTAACCCAATTAGCCGTACAGTTTAAAACATACTTTTTACCCCACTTTCATAACTCCAAAACTATACATCCAATATTAATAAAAGTCACATATTATTAATCAGCACATTTCAAATACAAACATACCCAAAAATCATTTGAATTCGTTCAGGCGTTCGGGAGATAGATATAAGTCACTTTTGACCGACCGCAAGCACATTTTCATGCCCAAAAGAGTTCCATAGAGTTGGGCTGTGCGGTCGGTCAATTTCACACAGAAAAATGTCTCATTCGAATGCACGAATGGGGCCATTCGTGTAAATAGGTCCGTCTAACAGTGCATTCGAATTGTCGAACGCACTTTGATTCCAGCCGAAGCGTCGAAGTTCATGAGAAGGTAAGGGTCAGCGGTGTTCGTGCAAATGTGTAGCCGAGATTCAATGGCACGCACCACTGACCGCGTTCGACTAAATTAAAATGGCCGCCACCACGTGTTCGGTTTTCGAATGGCGGCCACTTCGACTACTTCGGCACTTTGACTGCATCCAAAGTGCCAGTTTAAAAGTACAAATCCTTTCTCTGGGAGTAAAAGGGCCAGCAGCAGCACAACACAAATCCATTATGCCCAAATCATGTCTTTAAAGGGCAATACATCCCAGGGGCCATAGTCACATGGCAGGAGGCTGGCAATCAGTCTTCTCCAATGCCCAGTGGCGAGGCTGGTTCCGCCACAAATGGTTTTTCTTTTTCATTTAGAATTAGTTTATTAAACTCAAAGCTCAGGGTCTTAGTATTTTTTCTTAATTTAGTGGATTCAGAAATATATCCAAAAAATATATATATTTCCCAGAAACTCCTGCTTGATGTTTTCCCATATAAGAGTGTGTTGCAGCAGTACAGGGGTGCGTTCACAAAGCCGCTAGCCACCCCTCGTTAAAATAAATGGGAAGATCTAGTAAAGAAGAGTGGGGACCTAAATATTTTCACTCTGATTTGTATTAATTAATTAAATATATTTTGATAATTATATTTAATTTATTTTTAAACATTATGAATTATTTAGTATTATCCATTGAACAAAGGGAGTTACAATATAATTTTAAAATACTTTTTTGGTTTAAATGAAATTGAGATCATTATAGTGCTGATTCTAGTTTAACGCTTACTTGAGGGTCGATAACAAAGTAAAGAGTCTGGTGCTTATTCTCCAATAATCTGTCTGTTAATATTGCACTTGTTTTGGGTAATATTCTGTGTGTGATTATTACATACCGGTTATGAGTAAAGCATTTTATGCTCACTGTATTAATGATAACGTGAAGACATTTGGGAATGTGTTTGTGTCTCCTAGCGGCTGAGTCGTTGAACCTTTGCTATGTGGCCAGTACTTATTCCACCTGCTCGGTGGAGGAGATTGTGACGGCAGCACCGGACGGATTCCGATGGTTCCAGCTCTACGTTTACCGAGACCGCAAGTTGTCGGAGCAGCTGGTGCACCGGGTGGAGGCTCTGGGCTTCAAGGCACTTGTTCTTACTGTGGATGTTCCATACACCGGCAAGAGGAGGAGCGACATCCGCAACAACTTTCGACTGCCACCACATCTCAAGGTGAAGAACTTTGAGGGCGTGTTTGAGGTAAGGGAAGCACATCGTCTTTCATTGAGCCTTAGTGTATGGGAAGTAGTGGGCATCACTGGAAGAGATTTAAAGCGACTCTGTTATGTTTTTTTTTCTTTTTGTTTTACTTTTTTAATGCCCCTTGTACCTTGCCACTTGCCTTTATTTATATTTATTATCTTTTCTTCAATATCTGGATGCGGCCATTTTGTTTCATGATGTCTGCTGGTTGCCCTTTATGTGGGATTGATTTTACTGATGGATTGTGGGTAAATTTTCATTAGTAGCTGAAACAGACAACCTTCAGCTATAGCTTGTATCCGAGGTTTTCCTGCAATGTGCAGAGAGATTTAATACACAGTTACTGTATCAGTGCAGGGGCGGGGTTATGATATACACAGTTACTGTATCAGTGCAGGGGCGGGGTTATTATATACACAGTTACTGTATCAGTGCAGGGGCGGGGTTATGATAAATACAATTACTGTATCAGTGCAGGGGCGGGGTTATGATATACACAGTTACTGTATCAGTGCAGGGGCGGGGTTATGATAAATACAGTTACTGTATCAGTGCAGGGGCGGGGTTATGATATACACAGTTACTGTATTAGTGCAGGGGCGGGGTTATGATAAATACAGTTATTGTATCAGTGCAGGGGCGGGGTTATGATATACACAGTTACTTTATCAGTTTAGGGGGGGATTATGATATATACATTTACTGTATCAGTGCAGGGTTATGATAAATACAGTTACTGTATCAGTGCAGGGGCGGGGTTATGATATATACAGTTACTGTATCAGTGCAGGGGCGGGGTTATGATAAATACAGTTACTGTATCAGTTTAGGGACGGGGTTATGATATACACAGTTACTGTATCAGTACAGGGGCGGGGTTATGATATACACAGTTACTGTATCAGTGCAGGGGCGGGGTTATGATAAATACAGTTATTGTATCAGTGCAGGGGCGGGGTTATGATATACTCAGTTACTGTATCAGTGCAGGGGCGGGGTTATAATAAATACAGTTACTGTATCAGTGCAGGGGCGGGGTTATGATAAATACAGTTATTGTATCAGTGCAGGGGCGGGTTATTATATACACAGTTACTGTATCAGTGCAGGGGCGGGGTTATGATAAATACAGTTACTGTATCAGTGCAGGGGCGGGGTTATGATATACACAGTTACTGTATCAGTGCAGGGGCGGGGTTATGATAAATACAGTTATTGTATCAGTGCAGGGGCGGGGTTATGATATACTCAGTTACTGTATCAGTGCAGGGGCGGGGTTATAATAATACAGTTACTGTATCAGTGCAGGGGCGGGGTTATGATAAATACAGTTATTGTATCAGTGCAGGGGCGGGGTTATGATATACACAGTTACTGTATTAGTGCAGGGGCGGGGTTATGATAAATACAGTTATTGTATCAGTGCAGGGGATGATAAATACAGTTATTGTATCAGTGCAGGGGCGGGGTTATGATAAATACAGTTATTGTATCAGTGCAGGGGCGGGGTTATGATATACACAGTTACTGTATCAGTGCAGGGGCGGGGTTATGATAAATACAGTTACTGTATCAGTGCAGGGGCGGGGTTATTATATACACAGTTACTGTATCAGTGCAGGGGCGGGGTTATGATAAATACAGTTACTGTATCAGTGCAGGGGCGGGGTTATGATATACACAGTTACTGTATCAGTGCAGGGGCGGGGTTATGATAAACACAGTTACTGTATCAGTGCAGGGGCGGGGTTATGATATACACAGTTACTGTATCAGTGCAGGGGCGGGGTTATGATAAATACAGTTATTGTATCAGTGCAGGGGCGGGGTTATGATATACTCAGTTACTGTATCAGTGCAGGGGCGGGGTTATAATAAATACAGTTACTGTATCAGTGCAGGGGCGGGGTTATGATAAATACAGTTATTGTATCAGTGCAGGGGCGGGTTATTATATACACAGTTACTGTATCAGTGCAGGGGCGGGGTTATGATAAATACAGTTACTGTATCAGTGCAGGGGCGGGGTTATGATATATACAGTTACTGTATCAGTGCAGGGGCGGGGTTATGATAAATACAGTTACTGTATCAGTTTAGGGACGGGGTTATGATATACACAGTTACTGTATCAGTACAGGGGCGGGGTTATGATATACACAGTTACTGTATCAGTGCAGGGGCGGGGTTATGATAAATACAGTTATTGTATCAGTGCAGGGGCGGGGTTATGATAAATACAGTTATTGTATCAGTGCAGGGGCGGGGTTATGATATACACACTGTTCCTATAAGCACAGCAAAGTAATATTTGTATGTGTAAGTTCCAACCAATCACAGTCAGTTTGAATTATGCAGCCTCTAGTTAAATTCATTATTTTCACCTTTCTGCTTTATTTAATAAATTGACACCCGTTTACCCACAACTAGCGTGCCGCTTCATTAACACAACAACAAAACATTACAATGGTTAAGGGATGAAGTTCCCATATAAATACTGACTGCGCCCTCGCAAGGGAAGGGGAGGAGTTATAATATATTTTTCATTTTCATTCATTTTTTTTTTTTGCATTTTTTTGTTGCACTATTTTTTTTACATTTGTCGGGTGTTTTTTGTCTTTTACTTATTTCATGCCTGATTACACTGTGACCGCAGGGGATGGCGCAGAATGAGTTTATCCCTACAAAAAGGAAAATAAACTCTAAAGAAAGCATAATTTCAATGTTTATGGGATCTTATTGTTACAAACATTTGAAAAAGTGCTTCATTATTTATACACCAACATTTATTTCACAGGCACATGACAGAATGTTTATTATTTGGCTAAGTAGCTTCCATGTTGTGCAGCCTCCATATTTCCCTTCTACCACTTGTTGCCATAGGAACACTACGGCCCTGATAATTACGGTGTCCCAGCCAACACCTTGGACCCGTCCATCAGCTGGAAGGATGTCTATTGGCTGAGAAGTCTAACCCGTCTGCCAATCATAATCAAGGGGATTCTGACGAAGGAGGATGCAGAGCTGGCCGTGGAACATGGAGTACAGGGAATCATAGTGTCCAATCATGGAGGACGCCAGCTGGATGGGGAACTTGCCACGGTACGCACGTTCGACTAACACACCACCTTTCAAAGTCTGGATTCAACCGAGGCCAAGTGCTTTAACATATTTAGATTATTATTATTATTATTATTATTATTAAGGAGGAAATCATTAGACAGAGATTAACACAAATAGGGTTATTCACCACAGTGAAATTTGTTGGGAATTCGAAGTGAATTAAATTTCAAAGTGAATTTCAAATTTAGGCTACAGAAGCTATTTAGTGAATCGAGGCTGCGATCCCATAATCCGCAGTCTGTATGTAGTGAATCGGGGCTGCGATCCCATAATCCACAGTCTGTATGTAGTGAATTGGGGCTACGATCCCATAATCCGCAGTCTGTATCTAGTGAATCGGGGCTGCGATCCCATAATCTACAGTCTGTATGTAGTGAATCGGGGCTGCGATCCCATAATCCACAGTCTGTACGTAGTGAATTGGGGCTACGATCCCATAATCCGCAGTCTGTATGTAGTGAGTCGGGGCTGCGATCCCATAATCCGCAGTCTGTATGTAGTGAATCGGGGCTGCGATCCCATAATCCGCAGTCTGTATGTAGTGAATCGGGGCTGCGATCCCATAATCCGCAGTCTGTATGTAGTGAATCGGGGCTGCGATCCCATAATCCGCAGTCTGTATGTAGTGAATCGGGGCTGCGACCCCATAATCCGCAGTCTGTATGTAGTAAATCGGGGTTACGATCCCATAATCCGCAGTCTGTATGTAGTGAATCGGGGCTGCGACCCCATAATCCGCAGTCTGTATGTAGTAAATCGGGGTTACGATCCCATAATCCGCAGTCTGTATGTAGTGAATCGGGGTTACGATCCCATAATCCAGTCTGTATGTAGTGAATTGGGGCTGTTATCCCATAAATCAGTCTTTAGGTAGTGAATTAGTGTTTGTGTAATGTATGTGCTATGTATATGTAATTCTAGAGCTGTGTCTGTGTCTCTATGTTTATGTAATTATAGAGCTGTGTCTGTGTGTGTCTATGTATATCAAATTCTAGAGCTGTGTCTGTGTCTCTATGTTTATGTTATTATAGAGCTGTGTCTGTGTGTGTCTATGTATATCAAATTCTAGAGCTGTGTCCGTGTGTGTCTATGTACATGTAATTATAGAGCTGTGTGTCTCTATGTATATGTCGTCTGTGGTTATAAATTGGGGCAGTAACTTAATCTGTTCCTCTGTTCATGCTATAGATTGATGCCCTCTCGGAGATTGTGGACGCAGTGCAAGGTCGGATTGAGGTGTACATAGATGGAGGAATCCGGACAGGGAGTGATGTGTTGAAGGCACTGGCTCTGGGAGCAAAGTGTGTGTTCATTGGCCGGCCTATTGTGTGGGGTCTAGCTTACAAGGTGTGACATGGGGGGCATTGTATGGGGGCAGGGTTACAGGGGGAGCATTATGAAGAGGTATTGGTTACAAGATGTGATATGGGGGTATTGTGAAGGTGTGACAATGGGGGCATTGTGAAGGGGCAGGGTTTCGAGGTGTGACATGTGGGTATTGTGAAGGGGTGGGGTTACAAGGTGTGACAATGGGGGAATTGTGAAGGAGTGGGGTTACAAGGTGTGACATGGTGGTATTGAGAAGGGGTGGGGTTACAAGGTGTGACATGGGGGTATTGAGAAGGGGTGGGGTTAAAAATGTGTGACATGGGGGTATTGTGAAGGGGTGCGGTTACAAGTTGTGACATGAGGGTATTGTGAAGGGTTGGGATTACAAGGTGTCACAATGGGGGAATTGTGAATGGGCAGGGTTTCGAGGTGTGACATGTGGGTATTGTGAAGGGGTGGGGTTACAAGGTGTGACAATGGGGGAATTGTGAAGGAGTGGGGTTACAAGGTGCGACATGGGGTATTGTGAAGGGGTGGGGTTACAAGGTGTGACATGGGGGTATTGTGAAGGGGTGGGGTTACAAGGTGTGACAGTGGGGGAATTGTGAAGGGGTAGGGTTACATGGTGTGACATGGGGGTATTTAAAAGGGGTGGGGTTACAAGGTGTGAAATGGGGGCATTGTGAAGGGGCGTGGTTACAAGGTGTGACATGGGGGTATTGTGAAGGGGCAGGGTTACAAGGTGTGACATGGGGGGGTATTGAGAAGGGGTGGGGTTACAAGGTGTGACATGTGGGTATTGTGAAATGGGGTTACAAGTTGTGACAATGGGGGAATTGTGAAGGAGTGGGGTTACAAGGTTCGACATGGGGTATTGTGTGAAGGGTGGGGGTTACAAGGTGTGTGACATGGGGGTATTGTGAAGGGGTGGGGTTACAAGGTGTGACAATGGGGGAATTGTGAAGGGGTAGGGTTACATGGTGTGACATGGGGGTATTTAGAAGGGGTGGGGTTGCACACCCTCTAAATCCAGTTCACAATGGGGGCATTGTGAAGGGCTGGTTCAAGGTGTGACATGGGGGTATTGTGAAGGGGCGGGGTTACAAGGTGTGACATGGGGGTATTGAGAAGGGGTGGGGTTACAAGGTGTGACATGGGGGTATTGAGAAGGGGTGGGGTTACAAGGTGTGACATGGGGGTATTGTGAAGGGGTGGGGTTACAAGGTGTGACATGAGGATATTGTGAAGGGTTGGGGTTACAAGGTGTGACAAGGGGGAATTGTGAAGGGGCAGGGTTTCGAGGTGTGACATGTGGGTATTGTGAAGGGGTGGGGTTACAAGGTGTGACAATGGGGGAATTGTGAAGGAGTGGGGTTACAAGGTGTGACATGGGGTATTGTGAAGGGGTGGGGTTACAAGGTGTGACATGGGGGTATTGTGAAGGGGTGGGGTTACAAGGTGTGGCAATGGGGGAATTGTCAAGGGGTGGGGTTACATGGTGTGACATGGGGGTATTGAGAAGGGGTGGGGTTACAAGGTGTGAAATGGGGGCATTGTGAAGGGGCGTGGTTACAAGGTGTGACATGGGGGTATTGTGAAGGGGCGGGATTACAAGGTGTGACATGGATGTATTGAGAAGGGGTGGGGTTAAAAGGTGTGACATGAGGGTATTGTGAAGGGGTGGGGTTACAAGGTGTGACAATGGGGGAATTGTCAAGGGGTGGGGTTACAAGGTGTGACATAGGGGTATTGTGAAGGGGCGGGTTTACAAGGTGTGAAATGGAGGCATTGTGAAGGGGCGTGGTTACAAGGTGTGAAATGGGGGCATTGTGAAGGGGTGGGGTTACAAGGTGTGACAATGGGTGGCATTGTGTTAAAATTCTGCTAAAAGGAACCAGAATAATTAAAAAGAAACTGTCACTCGTCTGGAATTGACACAAATGGATACAACATAAAAATTGCCTATAACTTGTCTGTAGCGGAGCTCCAATACCCAGTTTAGGTATCTCAGCTATTCCTTCCTCGAAGCTGAAAGAAAGACTACAGATAATCCAAGACCCTTTCCCCCCAGCAACTAGAGGACACATAGTTCTGGGAGTCAGCTGATTTTATTTTGGCCACACACAGCTTTTATGCATGGACCCCTGGCATGGGATCTGCCAAATCAAAAATACAAGGGTTTTCCTCCCAGGATTCTCTGTTTCTGAGAGATAACTGCATGAGAAAACTATAATTACATTTTCTCTCAGATACAGGAAAACATACAATATTTCTAAAACACCCCAAAAACATTTTAATAACATAGGAACCCCACGAAAGTCACATCACCGAATAGCTTAGATCTGAGCACCCACTTTGTCAATATATTGCTGAGATACCTTCGGTCGTTCGAACAAAGTTTTGATCGGTCGGCCACGAGGTTATGCCCCAAAACAGTTCCAGAGAAAACAAGGCAAAAACCATCTTTTGGGGGTTCTCACACGAACACCAGTGGATGCATCCCCTGGCTGTTAGGGAGCGAATGTTCAGTAGTTTATGCCTTCCAAACGCCGTTCTCATAGCTGTTCGGGAAGTTGGATGGGCAGCAGTACTAGTTTGAGTGGTCGCGTATCCGAAAATAGTTCCACGCTGTCGACGACCATGTATCGCTGCCTGCATTCGGGAGACAAAATGGCCACCAATTATTGGAACACGTGTGTTCAGTATTATGAACGGCGGCTACACAGGGAAAACACTTGTACTAATGACCAATTTGTGGTTAACAGCCAGGGGTGGTCAGTGTTTAGTAGGTGCTAACAAAATAAATTAGTGTGGTGTGAGCACTTTAAAATGTAAATTTGCTCGGATTCCTACAGGGGGACAGGGGGTCAAGTGAACAGGACAGAGGACATAGACCCTCAGTAGAACAACTGACAATACGAGATGCACATGCAGAGGGGGGAACACCGGTACTCACACAGTTCAATCTATATTGGGACACAGCTCAGTTATGATAAATGTTACTGTTCAGGTTTATATTGATCTGCACCACTGTTTGGCGGATACAGTTACAATTACTAGTTGTACCCATGCAAAGATGCGCTTAACAGAAACCGATGGGTCCGCAGGAACATTATGGAGAACATTGTCAGAGAGAGCCCTGCTCCAAATTGCAAATGTCAAATGATTGTAATAGCCAATACAAGCAAACTACTGTATAATGCAAGTTCCAATCAGAATAACACTGTATGTAAACACAAGTAACATAAGTAACAATAAACCGCTTTAACCCCTTAAGGACAGAGCTTCAAAAGCTTGTCTTTCACTTAATGACAACAGCATTTTTTTCATTTTTTGCTGTTTGCGTTCAACTGCAATTTGCATTTTACTAATTTGTTGCACCAACACATATTATATAAAGGATAGAAAGGGCTTTAATTTGATGTAACACACATATATATACATGCTTATTTATTATAAAAAAAATACAGAAAAATGTAAAAAAAAAAATGAAAATTTTGGTGTTTTTTTTTACAGTTTTTGCAATAATAATGTGTGCATAATTAGTGCAGGTTAAGAAAAGTAATTAAAAATAAATTCATTTAGTTGTTCTGATTTACAGAATATATAATGTGTCTGGGATTTTAAGTTTTTTTTTTGGTAGTTACAGGTCACAAAGCACAAGGAGTAAAATAGACTTTTAATGTGGAGCGATCTTAGAATTTGGTATGTTTGTCTTGTAAGCTTAATAGCCATAAAAGAAAACACAATTGCCACACAGAAGTATATATTTATATAAAGTAGAAATCACAGGCTATTTGCCTAAGGTTGTTTTGACACTTTCTACGTAGCCATTTCACCGCCAACCTCTGCTAAATATTGGAGTTAAATTTTGTGTTTTTTTGGTTTTTGGCACACAAACTTATAACAAAGAAATTCTCATGTATATTTTGTAAAGTTGGTGTGTGCTATTCCTGTACAAAGTTTTATTTTGTGTTCAGTTACATCTGCTGAGTAAAATGACACCCCCATTGTATGTCTTTTGCACTATTTCGTGAAGTTACAGTGCCATACAGGATACCTGTCCTTTTCAGTATTCACAGTAGAATTTTGAGAGATTAATTTAATGAGCCTTAGCTTCCATTTGGGGTATTATAACAGTTTGACTGTTCAAAAAAAACCCACAAAGGCCTACCATTTGTAAAAGTAGACACTCCAGGGTATCTCATAAGGTGCATATTGTGCCTTAACATGCCCCCATTTTTTCTGAGTAAAAAGACACCCCCAATGAATGTCTTTGGCACTACTTCGTGAAGCTACAGTGCCATATACCAAGCCATATCCGTTTTTACCGAACTTTGAATTTTGACGCTGGGCCTATGTGCAATTTCCAAGCATCTTCGCAGGTTTTAAATTCAAACTACCCCACAAAGGCCTACCATTTCTTAAAGTAGACACCCCAGGGTGTTTCAAAAGGTACCGTATATACTTGAGTATAAGCCGAGTTTTTCAGCACATTTTTTGTGCTGAAAAACCCCAACTCGGCTTATACTCAAGTCAATGTCTGTATTATGGCAACTTACATTGCCATAATACAGACTGGGGGCTGGCAGCGAGCGCTTACCTCTCCTGCAGCTCCTGTCAGCTCTCTCCTCCTCCGCGCCGGTCCGGTCAGCACCTCGGTCAGCTCCCAGTGTAAGTCTCGCGAGAGCCGCGGGGTCATAGTGCGGCTCTCGCGAGACTTACAGTGTGAGCTGAGAGAAGAGCTGCAGGAGAGGTAACAGCTCTGCCAGCCCCCCTCCTCCCCCCACTGAACTGCCAATGCCACTGGACCACCAGGGAAGGAGAGCCCCCCTCCCTGCCATGTATCAAGCAGGGAGGGGGGACAACAAAATAAATAAATTTATAATATATTAATAAAAATAATAATAATAAAAAATAATAATATAACAAAATAATTAAAATAATATTAATTAATAATATATAAATAATAAAAAAAATAATAAAAATAATAATATAACAAAAAAAATTAAATTAATAATTTTTTTTTTATAAAAATGCCCACCCCCCACCAAGGCTCTGCAACACAAACACACACTGCATCACACACACACACACACACTGCATTCATACACACACACTGCATTCATACACACACACTGCACTCATACACAAACACTGCATTCAAACACACACACTGCACTCATACACACACTGCACTCACACACACACACTGCACTCACACACACACTGCATTCATACACACACTGCATTCATACACACACACTGCACTCATACACACACTGCGCACTCATACACACACTACGCACTCATACACACACACTGCATTCATCATATACACACACTGTAAATATTTAATTAATATATTTTTTTTAGGATCTAATTTTATTTAGAAATTTACCAGTAACTGCTGCATTTCCCACCCTAGTCTTATACTCAAGTCAATACGTTTTCCCAGTTTTTTGGGGTAAAATTAGGGGCCTCGGCTTATATTCGGGTCGGCTTATACTCGAGTATATACGGTATATACGGTATATTTTGAACCGTAGCGTTGGGATAATTTTTCCGCTAGCTTGTACCAGATGTAGTGGTAATAAGCGTTTTTTCTGCCTTTTTGACATACAAAGTGAGTTTGCACAGTATATTTTGCAAACCTTATGTGTGCTATGACTGTATAATACTTCATATGTTGCTCAGTTATGTAGGCTGAGTACAGCAATACTCCCGTATGTACCTTTGCCAGGTATGTGTGGACATCGGAGGGACACATTTGGGACACAGCCATTCCAGTTTTTTTTCATCCCAGGGTATTTCAAAAGGCATATTTTAAACCTTAGCGTGGGATCATTTTCCGCTAGCTTGTACCAAGTGTAGTGGTAATAAGCGTTTTTTCTGCCTTTTTGACACACAAAGTGAGTTTGCACAGTATATTTTGCAAACCTTATGTGTGCTATGACTGTATAATACTTCATATGTTGCTCAGCTATGTCGGCTGAGTACAGCAATACCCCTGTATGTACCTTTGCCAGGTATATGTGGATGTTTAAGGGGCGCATTTGAGACGCAGCCATTCAGTTTTTTTCTAACTTTGAAGTTTTACGCTGTGTCCATGTTCCAATTTGGAGTAGTTTAGATGGTTGGTTATTGAAACTTCTCCACAAACACATACTATTTATTAAAGAATACACCCTGGGGTAATTCAAAAGGCATATTTTGAACCTTGGCGTGGGATAGTTTCTCTAGTTTGTTCCAGGTGTAGTGGTAATGAGCATTTTTAAAATGTATTTTTTTACTTTTTTTACTTTTTTACGTTAAAAAAATAGTTTTTAAACTTTTGTTTTGCTTATGAATTTTTTTTAAACTTTCCTAAACTTTCTTAAAACTTTTTTACAGATTTAACATTTTTCTAAGCTTTTTTTTTACTGTTACAGAAAGCAGCACTAACAGTAAATTCCCCATTTTCCCATAACTCCCACCCACCCCAGCTAGCAAAATATATAATTATAAAATATTTAAATTAATTAATTAAATAAATTGAACCCCTGAGGGTTAAAAAAATAAATAAAAGTTAATCCTCAGGGGTTAAAAAAAATTAGATCACAGTATAATACTGTGATCTCTATTTGATCGCTGTAGGCAGTGATCGACTGGCAGGGAAGGGGTTAATTTTTATTTGGACTAGGTAAAGGGGGGTGTTTTTTATTTTTTACTTAAACATTATTAAAACTTTTTTTTAAGCTTAATTTTTAACTTTTTAAAGTTTATTTTAAAACTTTTTTTAATGTTAACCCCTAGTTAGCCTAACGCCAAATCCCCCAATTCCCCACTAACTTCCACCCACCCACCCCAGCTAGCTAAATATATAATTTTAAAATATTTTAATGAATTAATTAAATAAATTTAACCCCTGAGGGTTAAAAAAAAAAGAATTAACCCTCAGGGGTTAAAAAAAAAAAAAATCAGATCATAGTAAAATGTAATCCCTGCCAATTGATCACTGTAGTCAGTGATCAATTGGCAGGGAAGGGGTTAATTTTTTATTACAATGGGTAAAGGGGGACTTTAAATAAACTTATTTTTTTTTCCTATAGTGGGCAGGATCAGCACTGTTCCGGCTCCCTGCACGTCACACAGAACCAGGAAGTGCAGGGAGCCAGAAGGTAAGTATACAGAGCACATGTGCTCGCTCTGACTTGCGGTCAGAGCGAGCACATGTGCTGGGCAGCCTGACCGGGTACTCCCGGTATGCCTCTAATACAGAGGCATACCGGAGCACCATTAACCCCGCGATAGCGGCGATCCGGGGTTAATTTTACCGCGTGACGGACGAGGTCCGTCACCCGTCCTTAAGGGGTTAATAACTAAAATGTAAATGTTATTGATTGATGTTAAAATATCCCAAAAAAGGGGGTATTGAGGTATCTGTAGATAAATACATAGAACGAAATAGAAAGAAATAGTATATAAAGTAGAACAAAGGGGGTGAAAAAAAATAATACAAAATGATGATAAAAATCTCTCTAAGTCAGCGGGATACAAAAGGAGTTAAAAGTTAATAGTACACATTTAGGCACAGATATTTCCTGGTAGGATAGTGGATAATAAAGTATCAAGTATACCACTTATGGCCTGCAGAGTAACTGTTGCAATTGTGTATCACATAGCTCTATGCAGAAAGCTAATAGTAATGTGTCCAACAAGATTAGAGTATTTGCCTTAAAAGAGCATTATAGTGCCAGGAAAACAAATTGTTTTCATGGCATTATAGGGTCATTAGGTCCCCCCACCTTCAGGACCCCCCTCCTGCTGGGCTGAAGGGGTTAAAACCTCTTCAGCCACTTACCCTCCTCCAGTGCCGGGCTCCCTATGTGCTGGGGAACTCTCCACCCCCTGCCAACGTCAGATCTGGCCGTGCACGCATTCAAACAGCCCATATGAAAGCGTTTCTCAGTGCTTTCCTATGGACGCTGACGTCTTTTCACTGTGAAAATCACAGTGAGAAGCGCCTCTAACGACTGTCAATGAGAAAGCCACTACAGGCTGGATTAACCCTCATTGTAAACATAGCAGTTTTTCTGAAACTGCTATGTGTTCAGCTGCAGGGTTAAAACTAGGGGGACCTGGCACCTAGACCACTTCATTGAGCTGAAGTGGTCTGGGTGACTATAGTGGTCCTTTAAAGTAATAGTAATATAATCGCATTTTGATATGCACAGATATTAGTCTGCAAGTGTAACCATTTCTGCCTATATTACTATTACTCTGCTGCAAATATTCTAAACTTGTTGGTCTATCTGCAAGTTCAAAGTCGCTGGTCAGTCTGTAGCCCATGGAGCAATGTAGTTAGGGGAATGGGCCTTGACAGGGCCAGAAAGTAGGCATGTATTTTATTAATATTTGGGGGCAGACATGTGGTTATAAGGGGAAATAGCACAGCCATCTTAGAGAGAGGCCATTTTTATTTACAACTTACCTGTTACTTGTCCCTCCCACCCTCCCTGTGGTTAGTTGTTGTTCCCCGTTTGGTCACAGCGGCGGGTGTGGCAAGGTTTAGGCTGCATTAGGCAGGGGTGGTTCAATTGGTTGGTATGTTCGAGCTCATCGGTGACTCTGAATCTGGGGGTGTAGGGGTGTCTCGGTACACCCCTACAATTTAAGCAGTTGGATATGGGCCTTGTAACGGCTACCCAGCTAAAGTGAGGGTATCAGCTGTTGGGGACATCCTTTTCTTCCCGGCAAGTCGCTGTATAGTGATTGAGTTGCTTATTCCCCTCTGCTGGATCAGAAGTAGAAGTCAGGTACAGCTCTGAAAAGAGCTCAGTGATTAAGCTGCAGAGATTCCCCTTTCAAGAACAAGACAAGGCTACGTTTTGAAGGGTCATGAAGAACTAAAGCTTTAATGACAGACACTCTCTTTTATGTGATTCTGCCCATGCAAGGGAGACACCCACATAATTAACAATACAGCCAATAAACACAATATACATCCTGTACATCTCCTCCCCTTAGATAACCACATAACATAATTGAAAATGAACATGTTTTTCCCCAAAGTTTGGATGTACCCCAAATCCTTAGAGTACAGGCATAAATTGTGGTGTCCCCAGATAGCTTATTTCTGGGGGACTAATATATCCAAAAATTAGCTCATTTGGTTCAGCCGTTCGGGAGATATGGGACTTGAAAGTTTTGACCGACCACACGGGCAAAGTAGCCGAAAACAGTTCCATGAATCCTGGCCCTGCAGTCGGTCTTAGTTTGTGCGTAAAAAGCCACAAACGGCTGGCCATCCGTACGTAATCCTGTGTTCGCTGAAATCCCCATAAGTTGTTAAGTCTTTCTACCGAACGCCCTGTCGTTCGGTAGCTGTAGCACGATTTCCCGGAGGTATGGAGGTCTCAGCGCTGTTCGCCTATCCGAGTGTCCGTTTTTAGTTCCAGACACTCGACGGCAAAACACCGCTGTTCAGGAGTTAAAATGGCCGCAAACACGTGGAAGTCCCGAAATGGCGGCCATGCATACGGTTCATATAGCATTCGTGCGTTTATTTGCACGAAAATCCCCATAAAGCAGGGAGGTAAATGAGTCTCAATTTAGAGTCAGGGTGGCCTGTTAGTTAGTAGCAAGCATTGGTATGGGGAATGCTTGCAATGTCCCAAACTGAATATTAATCCACAGTCTTCATATGTTAGTGAAATTGTCCTCTTTGTTACAGGCCTCTTTGGTAGGCCGTGTTTTATGTTATATGATATTTATACTGTTTTATTCTGTTATATTGGTATGGGGTCATTGCCAGGGGTATTTATTTATGGAGGGAGATTGGAGTCAAATATCTTTATTGTTTGGCAATGACCCTAAAATTTTGCAAAGTTATTATGATAATTAATAAAGCTGTGGACTGTATATTTCCAACAGAAAAACTGGAGTCTGTGTTTATTAAAAGATGTTGGGGAAGGGTTATGGCACATGCCGAATAACGACTGTGCACATGTCATGCAAGTTTAACCATTTCTGCCTATATTACTATTACTTTAAGGCAAATACTCTAATCTTGTTGGACACATTACTATTAGCTTTCTGCATAGAGCTATGTGATACACAATTGCAACAGTTACTCTGCAGGCCATAAGTGGTATACTTGATACTTTATTATCCACTATCCTACCAGGAAATATCTGTGCCTAAATGTGTACTATTAACTTTTGACTCCTTTTGTATCCCGCTGACTTAGAGAGATTTTTATCATAATTTTGTATTATTTTTTTTACCCCCTTGTTCTACTCTATATACGATTTCTTTCTATGTATTTATCTACAGAATATAGCTCAATACAACCCTTTTTGGGGATATTTTAACGCCAATCAATAAGTTATATATCAATAAATATATAATCAATAAGTTATATTTTAAAGTGCTCACACCACACTAATTTATTTTGGTAGTACAATTACAGGGTTCAAATCCCTGGACAAAGTGGTGAAGCAAAGTTTCTCACTTGTTGTCAGTTAGTGCTGGACAAGATAGATCTCTCTTTTCCGTGGTTAGAAGGTGCGAACAAGGGGACCACAAAAGGTTGGTTTGGTAAATGAACAGGGGTGTACGGACAATGTCCTGGACATAAGCATTGAGAAAGGGCTGCTGCTCGAAACGTTTGCTGCATTAACTTTGTCCTCAAATAAATTGTGGTAGCACCTGGGTGTGCACACCTATACTGGATGCGCAGGACTCGTGTTTGTTTTTTGGTTGTATATACACTGTTGGGACTTCAGTGTGGAGTATCTGCAGCACAGGTCTAATTTTTTCTTTGTTTATATTTTGAATTTTGTAGGCATTTTATGCCTTTACCTGACCCCATAAATATTGACTGCCAGGTGTAAAGGGCGACACCTGATCGACAGAGAGCTAAAATGGAGGTGGCTCTCTCTATACTGACTGCCAGGTGTAAAGGGCGGAGCGTATAACAATGATTGACAGGGAGCTAAGATGGAGGTGGCTCTCTCTATACTGACTGCCAGGTGTAGTGGGCGGAGCTTATAACAATGATTGACAGGGAGCTAAGATGGAAGCGGCTCTCTCTATACTGACTGCCAGGTGTAAAGGGCGGAGCTTATAACAATGATTGACAGGGAGCTAAAATGGAGGTGGCTCTCTACTGACTGCCAGGTGTAAAGGGCGGAGCTTATAACAATGATTGACAGGGAGCTAAGATGGAGGTGGCTCTCTCTATACTGACTGCTAGGTGTAAAGGGCGGTGTTACGGTACCTCCAGTAATAAATGCACAAACCGCCGTTTAGTGAATGCTCCCCGTTCGCAATAATATGGTCTGGTAGCGTATGCAGTGTAACCATGCGAACCGCCAGCTAGGGAACACTCCAAACTCCCGAACGGTACCTGGACGGCTCTTTCCCTTCTCGAGCTCCAAATGCACGAATCGCCAATAGCAGCCGAACGGCAATAGTTTCCAAGCGGCAAATAATTCCAATAAGCAGTCTCTAGGCGCCGGTAATAAAATCCCCGAATAACGAGACCAAGCTCCGCTTTGAGGGTAAAACATGAACTGAGTTTACTGTGGGCTACCTGCCCGTATTTATGCAGGTCTCCCACTTGGTGGACACTCCCCTAGGGGACCAAATAGGAGACTGAAATGACAGAAGGACATGGGGACATTCTGGACATACATCCCCACAATATTCCCAGCATGCATCACAGTTTCCTCCCCTCTGCTCGGGAGATAATTGAGAAGTAATTCAATTATCTCCCAGAGCAGAGGCAAATCGACATTTTAAATACAAGTTACAAAACACATTAAAATACATAACTTTATAACTGCCGAACGTATTACATTCGTATAACACATCCCCAGATAGCCTGGATCTGAGTGCATATTATTGGCGAATAGCGCTCAGATCCCATACGCAAAGTTCAATCGCCATGGAGTCAAAGTCTATTACAGTTCTTCGGTATGCGATTGACTCCATGGGAAGGCTATCTGGGTTAAGTCCATTCGTGTTATTAAATCTCCCGAACGGCCGGTATTCGTAAGCTTTTGTCGATTGAGAAGGGGAGGTCGACTGCTTCAGCGGTGTTCGGTTGAAAAAGTGTCAGTTTTTAGTTCCATGAAATAATCGTCGAACACCGCTGGGCTTTCGCATAGTCAAAATGGCCGCCGCCTCGTGGTCGACATATGAACGGCGACCACCTGGTATTCGGTTTTAATTGAGAAGTGTCTGTGGTTAACCGCAACGTTCTAATTGGGATCAATAGGTTAACCAGCAGCACACTTCTCTCCTGGGTGGCTGTCCGTACGGTAGTTCCGTTCGACAAAAAAAAAGACATTCCCTTAAACAAAGCATACGAATGGGGAAATTCATGCAAACGGCAAAACAGACAAACACAGCAATTCTAGTCCATACAGATGGGTCTGTCACAGGCGGAGCTTATAACAATGATTAACAGGGAACTAAGATGGAGGTGGCACTCTCTATGCTGATTGCCAGGTGTAATGGGTGGAGCTTATTACAATGATTGACAGGGAGTTATGATGGAGGTGGGTCTCTCTATGCGGATTGCCAAGTTAAAGGAGGGAGCTTAGCCATCTTAGCTCCATATCAATCATTGTTAAAAGATGGAGGTGCTCAGTTATATGATAAAGATGGAGATTTATAAATTTAATTTAACTTTTCTATCATCACACACACATATTTGTAATTAAAAATAATATTAAAACAGCACTCATCAACTCACATGGCCTACATGATACATGGCGGGCACTATACCCAGCCTCAAAAGACTACACGTTCTACTCCAAGGTACATGATCAATACTCCCAGATAGACATGTGCTTAGTGGATGCAAAATCGTTAGATACTTTACACAAGGTCTCTATCGCCAGTTTTTACTACACTCCACCCGGTCCGGGGTCGGGGACAGTGGAGACTAAATGAATCACTGATAGACAATGTAGAGAGGGCGGCCAAGATAAGGAGTGCCCAGGCGCACTACTTTGTGGATAACCACTACGCCGACACAAACATCACCATGACATGGCTTGCCCATAAGGCGGTCACGCGCGGTCTGCTCATACGACAAGGGGCTAAACTGAAGCGCCTACTGACAGATACAAGCAGGACCTTGCTAACCGATTTAAAGCAGGCAGAAACAAGACACAAGACCTCCCCTACATACTCCAATAGGCAGGAGGTACAAAAGATCAGGGCCACCATAGAAGCACTACAGATGCAGCAAGTAGAACGGGCAATTCGCAAAATGAAAACCAACTACTATAGACAGGGAAACAGAGCTGGCAAAATATTAGCCTCCCAACTCAGGGAACGGAACTCACAGGTGAAAATTCCATACATCACGGACAACACGGGCACCAAGATTAGAAACCCCAAGGCAATAGTAGACGAATTTGCCCAATTTTACGCAAGGTTATATAACCTATTTGAGGATGCCACACAACACCAACACAGCCCCCAAGACATTGCCACCTTCCTGGAGGGGGTGACTCTCCCCCGGCTCTCCAATGAACAGGCCATCGCATTGACCAACCCAATTGTAGCCTCCGAGGTATCCAAAGCTCTACATGACACACCTAGACACAAAGCCCCAGGTCCAGATGGCTTCTCCACCCACTACTACAGGGTCTTTGAAGACCAGCTGCTTCCCCACCTCACGGCCTTATTCAACCATATCCTAGAGTCACGTGATATACCCCCGGAAATGTTGGAAGCCACTATTATTACGCTCCCCAAACCAGGCAAAACTAGCGACTCGTGCGCTAATTACTGCCCAATATCACTCCTCAACGCTGACACAAAGTTGTTTGCCAAGGTCCTTGTGAACAGAATCCCTATATTAGCTCAATTAGTCTCCCCGGAACAGTCAGCGTTTGTCCCTGGGCGAAAAGTGGGGGACAACACCAGGCGAGCCCTTGACATATTGGAACTCATGAACATGGACGGGTCACAGGGCTTGCTGATGGCCTTAGACGCGGAAAAGGCCTTTGACAGACTCCACTGGGGCTATATGACAGAGGTCCTTTGCAGGTTCAACTTCCCGACAAAATTCCTGACCGGGCTCCTATCCCTTTACTCGTCCCCCCAAGCCACAGTCATGAACTCCGGTTTCATCTCCAGACGATTCGCCCTAACGAACGGCACACGGCAGGGATGCCCCCTATCCCCCCTCATTTTTATCCTGGCACTGGAGCCTCTGCTTCAAAAAATCAAAACTGACCCCAGCATCACAGGTGCCCCCTCTCCAATAGGCCCACAGGAACTATCAGTATTTGCTGACGACATTCTTCTCTTCCTAGTGAACCCTTCGGATTCCCTACCGGCTCTCCTGGACCTATTAACGGGAATATGGCCAAGTCTCTTACTACAAAAATAATGTAGCAAAAACACAAGTACTCCCATTGAACATGCCCCGATCCCAACTCACGACCCTACGAACACTCCCTTTGAATGGAGGACACCATTTCATATCTAGGCACACAACTGGCACCTTCCAAACGGCTCCACATAAAACATAACCATGGGCATCTCATAGCAAAAATAGGGCAGGTGTTGGAGGGCTGGGGAAACAAACACAAACACACATCCTGGTTGGGGCACATCAACGCCATAAAAATTATTATACTACCGCAATTATTATTTCTATTTAGGGCCCTGCCTATCAGTTTACCAAACTACACCCTTTGAGCGTTCCAGCGCCTTCTCAATGCACACATATGGAGGAAAAAAACAAGTAGGGTCTCACTAGCGAACATAAGTGCAGCTATGGAGGGAGGCGGGGTGGGTGTGCCACACATAACCAAATACTACCTAGCAACGAACTTATCTCAGACGGCGCACCTCCTCCTCGGACTGCCCACTGTGGCACCAACTGGAGAGTGCGGTCTGTGCACCCCACTCCCTTAGAGACCTAGTTTGGATTCCACCAACCTTCTTACAACAACCAAGCTGTCCCTGCAGCTATGGCTGCGATGGGCCCCTAAAATGCTCAGTGAGAAGGTGGTGACCCTTGCCCCACTAATGAGTCTCCAGCACCACACACATGACCTGGCCCTGAGCGGGTGGATAAATAGAGGGGTATTGAGGATAGCACACCTCTACGGGGCAAACGGGCTGTTGCCGTTCCTGGATCTCCAGAGGCAGTACCTTCTGCCAAACAGCAAAATATTCACGTACTTAAGCATAAAACACATAGTAGGGGATGCCAATAAGGCAATGACAACAACAAAATCTCAAAACCTCTTTGACTTACTATGCCAAGGTCTAAAAAACCCCAAAAAACCACTCTCCCTGTGTTACCAAAGGTTACTAGACATAGACAGACCGGCCGAACAATCATACATGCTCAAATGGGAAAAGGAGCTGAACTGCGAACTCGAACCTGCGATGTGGGTAGGGGCCATTACATTAGTTAAACTGGCGACACGGTGCTTAGACCATGTAGAAGCAGCCCACAAGATGTGGATGCAGTGGTACTACACACCACACAGGCTGGCCCAAATACACCCAGGGGTACAGGATAGATGTTGGCGTTGCAGCCAACAAGCTGGCAATACGAGCCACATATTCTGGTACTGCCCGGCACTTAGCCAATACTGGCAACAAATCCAAGACATAATCAAATCCAAAATAGGAAAACGAATACCACTCAAGCCTGAACACTATCTGCTCCACATGCTACCCCGAGACCTTACAGCCTACGAAGCAGCGCTGATTACCCACATCACTTTAGCCGCTAAAACATGCATAGCTGCTCTGTGGAAAACTACAACAGTACCTGATATAAAGGCAGTACTCGCCAAAGTAAACCTCACCCAACAGTACGAGCAGATGGCACATACAATAGGCGGAACATGAGAACACTATAACAGAACCTGGTCTAAATGGTGATATATGTGGTGATACCAATATGTCTAACTACACCCTATCAAGCTTTACAGCAAGAGAGCATCTCTACTACCCCCCCCCCTCCCCTACATTGCAGCCCTCTCCCAGTCATCCCCCCCAAGAAAATAAGGGCTTGTCTTGCTTTACCAAGCCCCAAAATACGAGATGATGAGCAGGGCAATTAGTTTCAAGCCCACACGACACGAAAAAAAAAAAAAAATGTAATGCATGGCTAGCTGTTAACTATCCGGCCCATCCCAAATGAGAGCGGAGGACTGGGTGCTGCTCCCCAGGTGCCTGAGGGTTACCACCTAGAGGCATGATAAAACACCATAGAGCGTGCCCAACCTACCAGGTACCACAAACGGATCATTACTCGCCACTTTTAAGTCATGAATGTCAACTAAAACGCAATATTGTACCACGTCTACAAGGATATATTATTCAATACCGCTGAAAACTGTCATCACCTTACGTTCTCTGTTTTATGTACCAAGTGTAGAACGTGCAATGTCTGTTAATGTGTCAATCCAAACCTTTTCATCTCAATAAAAATTAAACATTTAAAAAAAATAATAATAATATTAAACGTCCTGAGTAGTGATAGTCCCCATTTAATGTATCTAGGTATAACCACATTCCATCCTACTAAAGGATTAACCCTTCTTTCCTGGCTGTTTTAGGGAGAAGAGGGGGTGAAAGGTGTTCTGCAGATCCTCACAGAGGAGTTCCGCCTCTCCATGGCGCTTTCAGGTAAGACACCTCTCCGCTCTCCTTAGTAAATACGGGAATAATCTTGATGCACAGACACTCATTCATTGGCTGGGAGTGGTCAGCTGTCACTCTAAGCAAATTAAGGAGTGGTGGGACTGGCCTCCGGCTTCTGCAGTTCATAAACCGTCCTACAAACGGGACGCGGCACTGGCAGGACCAGGTAAGAGGGTAAACCATTGTAAAAGCTGTGCCCCCTTACTGTCCCCTCGCTGTGTCCCCTTGCAGTCCACTGTTCATGGCCGTACAGACACCCCACATTGTGCATGGAGGGTTCAATCACTGTGAGACTCATGGACTGGAGATACCTGTAATTGTGTAATTACATGTGAGGCGTGAATCAGTAAGAGATATTATTCCAAAACCTGATCTAGGTTCTGCTGACCACGCTTCTGTCCGTCCATAGCTTCTCTGTGTTTTTATCATCCCTGAAATCTGTGCACAATACAGGGAGCTGATACATCTCAGGAGAGCTGGGCCATGTCTATTTGATCCTCGGCTGGTCATTGGACAAAACCGGAGGCTGTGATTCTGTCTATTATCTACTAAACGCTCCTCTAAACACAGATACAGCATCCTGTTCATATCTATATGATTCCCCCCTCCACAGCTTATTTTACTGTGTATACTCCTTTTGCATCTCATAAATTATCACATTTTCCCAAATGTCAAATTTACATATTTTATTTTATTTTAGGCTGTCGAAATGTCTCTGAAATCAACCGAAACCTCGTCCAGTTTTCCAAGCTGTAGACTTTCAAGGATTGCTGTGTTGAGAGGCAAGAGGACATGAAGCAATTCCTTTCAACAATCGATAAAACCATAAGCACAAAAACCACCACAAAATCAGTTAATTCAGCTGGCAATAGAGCAAATAAGGCAATCAAATGGCGAATTAGGTCTTGTGATAATCAAAGGACACGTAGAAATCACTTAGTTTATAAACAGAGTGCCTTATTTATTATCACACTGGACCAGTGATTGCTAACCTGGGGACTGCATTACCCATAATTCTCAGCTAACGCGCACACATCCCACACGGTGCGGGCCATGAGATGATCTTCCCTGTGAACAGCAAAGGATTATGGGAAATTATTTCTCCTGCTTTTATAAATTCTGTTTTATTCATAATTACAGAGAATAATTGCTAGTTTATTAATCAATATTTTTTTTTTATTTCCTAAGTGATGCAAATGTGATTTATTTTAAGAAGGGACCCTTCTGCTTCTCCCAGCACATCTACTGTATGATAAATGAAACCCCCATGTATGGAATGCACGCGATTGTGGCTGCTTGGGGATCATTCACGCCATTATTACCTCACAAAACCACACGTCCAATAAACAGCGCTAAGATCCTCACAGGGACTTGTAAAATCTTTACTACACAGTTTCTGAGGCAAAATCATCTGAAAATCTGCGAAATTATTAAATAAAAAGTAAAACTATACTGAATGTGTCAAAGTTTCATGAGTGGTATATATAGATATGAGTATATATGAACATACTGCATAAAATCCATAAATACTGCTGATAATTGTTCTTAAGATAAAGGAGTGTTTGTCTACTGAGAACTAGTAGTCCTTTAATAATATAAACCCACCCGGTATAACTAACTGTAACCTAACCTACACAGTGCATCTAACGTGTGTGGGAGCCTGGAGTGTCCCTTTAATAATATAAACCCACCCAGTATAACTAACTGTAACCTAACCTACACAGTGCATCTAACGTGTGTGGGAGCCTGGAGTGTCCCTTTAATAATATAAACCCACCCAGTATAACTAACTGTAACCTAACCTACACAGTGCATCTAACGTGTGTGGGAGCCTGGAGTGTCCCTTTATTAATATAAACCCACCCAGTATAACTAACTGTAACCTAACCTACACAGTGCATCTAACGTGTGTGGGAGCCTGGAGTGTCCCTTTAATAATATAAACCCACCCAGTATAACTAACTGTAACCTAACCTACACAGTGCATCTAACGTGTGTGGGAGCCTGGAGTGTCCCTTTAATAATATAAACCCACCCAGTATAACTAACTGTATCCTAACCTACACAGTGCATCTAACGTGTGTGGGAGCCTGGAGTGTCCCTTTAATAATATAAACCCACCCAGTATAACTAACTGTAACCTAACCTACACAGTGCATCTAACGTGTGTGGGAGCCTGGAGTGTCCCTTTATTAATATAAATCCACCCAGTATAACTAACTGTAACCTAAGCTACACAGTGCATCTAATGTGGGTGGGAGCCTGGAGTGTCCCTTTAATAATATAAATCCACCCAGTATAACTAACTGTAACCTAACCTACACAGTGCATCTAACGTGTGTGGGAGCCTGGAGTGTCCCTTTAATAATATAAACCCACCCAGTATAACTAACTGTAACCTAACCTACACAGTGCATCTAACGTGTGTGGGAGCCTGGAGTGTCCCTTTAATAATATAAACCCACCCAGTATAACTAACTGTAACCTAACCTACACAGTGCATCTAACGTGTGTGGGAGCCTGGAGTGTCCCTTTAATAATATAAACCCACCCAGTATAACTAACTGTAACCTAACCTACACAGTGCATCTAACGTGTGTGGGAGCCTGGAGTGTCCCTTTAATAATATAAACCCACCCAGTATAACTAACTGTAACCTAACCTACACAGTGCATCTAACGTGTGTGGGAGCCTGGAGTGTCCCTTTAATAATATAAACCCACCCAGTATAACTAACTGTAACCTAACCTACACAGTGCATATACCGTGTGTGGGAGACTGGAGTGTCCCTTTAATAATATAAACCCACCCAGTATAACTAACTGTATCCTAACCTATACAGTGCATCTAACATGTGTGGGAGCCTGGAGTGTCCCTTTAATAATATAAACCCACCCAGTATAACTAACTGTAACCTAACCTACACAGTGCATCTAACGTGTGTGGGAGCCTGGAGTGTCCCTTTAATAATATAAACCTACCCAGTATAACTAACTGTAACCTAACCTACACAGTGCATCTAACGTGTGTGGGAGCCTGGAGTGTCCCTTTAATAATATAAACCCACCCAGTATAACTAACTGTAACCTAACCTACACAGTGCATCTAACATGTGTGGGAGCCTGGAGTGTCCCTTTAATAATATAAACCCACCCAGTATAACTAACTGTAACCTAACCTACACAGTGCATCTAACGTGTGTGGGAGCCTGGAGTGTCCCTTTAATAATATAAACCCACCCAGTATAACTAACTGTAACCTAACCTACACAGTGCATCTAACGTGTGTGGGAGCCTGGAGTGTCCCTTTAATATTATAAACCCACCCAGTATAACTAACTGTAACCTAACCTACACAGTGCATCTAATGTGTGTGGGAGCCTGGAGTGTCCCTTTAATAATATAAACCTACCCAGTATAACTGTAACCTAACCTACACAGTGCATCTAACGTGTGTGGGAGCCTGGAGTGTCCCTTTAATAATATAAACCCACCCAGTATAACTAACTGTAACCTAACCTACACAGTGGATGTAACGTGTGTGGGAGCCTGGAGTGTCCCTTTAGTAATATAAACCCACCCAGTATAACTAACTGTAACCTAAACTACACAGTGCATCTAACATGTGTGGGAGCCCGGAGTGTCCTTTTAATAATATAAACCAACCCAGTATAACTAACTGTAACCTAACCTACACAATGCATCTAACGTGTGTGGGAGCCTGGAGTGTCCCTTTAATAATATAAACCCACCCAGTATAACTAACTGTAACCTAACCTACACAGTGCACCTAACGTGTGTGGGAGCCTGGAGTGTCCCTTTAATAATATAAACCCACCCAGTATAACTAACTGTAACCTAACCTACACAGTGCACCTAACGTGTGTGGGAGCCTGGAGTGTCCCTTTAATAATATAAACCCACCCAGTATAACTAACTGTAACCTAACCTACACAGTGCATCTAACATGTGTGGGAGCCTGGAGTGTCCCTTTAATAATATAAACCCACCCAGTATAACTGTAACCTAACCTACACAGTGCATCTAACGTGTGTGGGAGTCTGGAATGTCCATTTAATAATATAAATCCACCCAGTAACTGTAACCTAACCTACACAGTGCATCTAACGTGTGTGGGAGCCTGGACTGTCCCTTTAATAATGTTAACCGACCCAGTATAACTAACTGTAACCTAACCTACACAGTGCATCTGTGTGTGGGAGCCCGGAGTGTCCTTTTAATAATATAAACCCACCCAGTATAACTAACTGTAACCTAACCTACACAGTGCACCTAACGTGTGTGGGAGTCTGGAGTGTCCCTTTAATAATATAAACCCACCCAGTATAACTAACTGTAACCAAACCTACACAGTGTACCGAATGTGTGTGGGAGCCTGGAGTGTCCCTTTAATAATATAAACCCACCCAGTATAACTAACTGTAACGTAACCTACACAGTACATCTAACGTGTGTGGGAGTCTGGAGTGTCCATTTAATAAATTAAACCCACCCAGTATAACTGTAACCTAACCTACACAGTGCATCTAACGTGTGTGGGAGTCTGGAGTGTCCCTTTAATAATATAAACCCACCCAGTATAACTAACTGTAACCTAACCTACACAGTGCATCTAATGTGTGTGGGATGCCGGAGTGTTCCTTTAATAATATAAACCCACCCAGTATAACTAACTGTAACCTAACCTACACAGTGCATCTAATGTGTGTGGGAGCCTGCAGTACCCGGTATAACTAACTGTAACCTAACCTACACAGTGCATCTAATGTGTGTGGGATGCCGGAGTGTTCCTTTAATAATATAAACCCACCCAGTATAACTAACTGTAACCTAACCTACACAGTGCATCTAACGTGTGTGGGAGCCTGCAGTACCCGGTATAACTAACTGTAACCTAACCTACACAGTGCATCTAACGTGTGTGGGAGCCAGGAGTGTCCCTTTAATAATATAAACCCACCCGGTATAACTAACTGTTATCTAACCTACACAGTGCACCTAACATGTGTGGGAGCCTGGAGTGTCCCTTTAATATTTATAAACCCACCCAGTATAACTGTAACCTAACCTACACAGTGCCCCTAACGTGTGTGGGAGCCTAGAGTGTCCCTTTAATAATATAAACCCACCCGGTATAACTAACTGTAACCTAACCTACACAGTGCATCTAACGTGTGTGGGAGCCTGCAGTGTCCCTTTAATAATATAAACCCACTCAGTATAACTGTAACCTAACCCACACAGTGCACCTAACGTGTGTTAATAATATAAACCCACCCGGTATAACTAACTGTAACCTAACCTACACAGTGCACCTAACGTGTGGGTGCCTGGAGTGTCCCTTTAATAATATAAACCCACCCAGTATAACTGTAACCTAACCTACACAGTGCATCTAAGGTGTGTGGGAGCCTGGAGTGTCCTTTTAATAATATAACCCACCCAGTATAACTAACTGTAACCTAACCTACACAGTGCATCTAACGTGTGTGGGAGGTTGGAGTGTCCCTTTAATAATATAAACCCACCCAGTATAACTAACTGTAACCTAACCTACACAGTGCTACTAATGTGTGTGGGAGCGTGGAGTGTCTCTTTAATAATATAAACCCACCCAGTATAACTAACTGTAACCTAACCTACACAGTGCATCTAACATGTGTGGGAGCCTGGACTGTCAATTTATTAATATAAACCCACCCAGTATAACTGTAACCAAACCTACACAGTGCATTT